GATGAAATTCAATTCTTATCTTGCCAGAATCATCATTTTTTTAAATACCGTCTTTATAACGAATTCCAAGAAATATGCCGTCTGCCTAAACAACCACCCCTCCCCTATTTCAAATTTGACGTCTGAGCCCCGGCCACTCCCTATTTTCAAATCCTTGATCTGCCGTTTGGGGGGGGGGCAAGAAATAGGCAAAGAAAGTTGAGTAGACCTTCAGATTACGCACTGAATAAATGTAACGAAAACAATATTTACAACATTCTATTCTTGCTTTAATACCTCAAAAATATTTAACGGTCAAACCAACAAAATGTATGTTTTCCCGGCCTTTCCTTATGGCCTAGGCCTACACCATTTTTCTAAACGCGTTCGAGTTTATTTCGTCTATGCGAATAAATTTGGTGGCGGAGTAACGCCTTTAACAGAGGCTATATTTGTAGACCTTACCCGACTTTCAAATGGAGAATCTCACTTTTCGGTGAACGGGGACCGAAATACCCCACTTGCGTGTCTGGTATTACAGACCGCTTTCTTTCCCGATATCTTCGCGTACACCAAGCTTCGTGAGAATGAGCAATCTCAGAATCTGGATGAATGTTGTCCTTGTAGTGTGAGGTTCATGAGTAATTATTGTTATAAACTCCGACATATAGTATGGATGATAATGTTTGTCAAGTTTATTGCGGACTTTGTCATCCTCATGAAAGTATTAGATCAAGTAAAAAGGCTTCAATTAAAATAGTTAAAAATGACCAGAAATCATTTCGATGTTAAGATATTTTTGACGCACTTCTCGTCATGATATTGAATTTATAACATACAACGAAACGAGGACATCATAATCATAAAGACGTTCGTTGTGCAGATATGTATTTGCTTATTAATACATACAGTGACAAAAAGAATAATGCGCTATAATCATGAGCAAAAAACCAAGAGGTTTCGGAGAATGGTAAAAAATCATCCGAGCAGTCAATTAGGCAATTCTTCAACAATCTTAAGTATCAAAAAGTGAAAAGGTTTAACTGTCGTGATAAAAATGAGCTTGTCATAGAGATTTATTATACAAGTGAGCATCGAAATGTTTCTTTAATGAACTGCTATAAAATTTTGAAACCAAATACTCTTGTGCTGAAATTTCATATCCTCAGTATCGAGAAGCATAATGTTCCATTATGGTTGCATCAACTATTGTAAAATAGATTAAGTCCTTCGATGTCTTGTAATGCCCTAATCACTCAGCTAATTATTATCTTTCTAAAGGATTGTAGATTTGAGAGTTTCTGTTTCTTTCGTGTTACATGCAATGGACATTCAATCATCACGGCTTGATGTGTTGTGGGGAAATAAATATTGTATCCTATACGTGTACAGATCATATTAAATCAAATAAAAGTTTGATGAAATTCAATTCTTATCTTGCCAGAATCATCATTTTTTAAATACCGTCTTTATAACGAATTCCAAGAAATATGCCGTCTGCCTAAACAACCACCCCTCCCCTATTTCAAATTTGACGTCTGAGCCCCGGCCACTCCCTATTTTCAAATCCTTGATCTGCCGTTTAGGGGGGGGGGGGCAAGAAATAGGCAAAGAAAGTTGAGTAGACCTTCAGATTACGCACTGAATAAATGTAACGAAAACAATATTTACAACATTCTATTCTTGCTTTAATACCTCAAAAATATTTAACGGTCAAACCAACAAAATGTATGTTTTCCCGGCCTTTCCTTATGGCCTAGGCCTACACCATTTTTCTAAACGCGTTCGAGTTTATTTCGTCTATGCGAATAAATTTGGTGGCGGAGTAACGCCTTTAACAGAGGCTATATTTGTAGACCTTACCCGACTTTCAAATGGAGAATCTCACTTTTCGGTGAACGGGGACCGAAATACCCCACTTGCGTGTCTGGTATTACAGACCGCTTTCTTTCCCGATATCTTCGCGTACACCAAGCTTCGTGAGAATGAGCAATCTCAGAATCTGGATGAATGTTGTCCTTGTAGTGTGAGGTTCATGAGTAATTATTGTTATAAACTCCGACATATAGTATGGATGATAATGTTTGTCAAGTTTATTGCGGTCTATGTCATCCTCATAAAAGTATTAGATCAAGTAAAAAGGCTTCAATTAAAATAGTTAAACATGACCAGAAATCATTTTGATGTTAAGATATTTTTGACAATTTTAGACAATATCATATTTAATAGTGTCCATGTACTATATCGAACTAGACAATTATGATGAAACTTGAAAGGAACATAATTATAACCAGGAAGTTTCTGATATAACTATGCTTATAAAGTGAAGCAAGGAAGATGAAACTGGCATCTCCCATGTATACTGGTAGCTATGAGAATGGACAAAATCCGAACCTATATGAGACTGCGAATAAGACTAGAACATCATGGAGGAGTTCCAAGCAGTACTTATCAAGGTTGGGCTGGTGATGTCCTGGCAAAGTTTGTTTACACTGCAGATTAGGGACTCTAACTCTCTCTTGCTCTGTGGTGAGCTTACCACCAAAATGCACCCCACTTTCGGGTCCAAAGTGGGGTGAAGTTTAAATGGACTGTTTTCGTCATGTTGAATACAACAACCGACCTTGAATTCAACCGACCTTGAATTCAACCAACTCTGAATTCAACCAACTTCGAATTAAACCAACTCTGAATTCAACCAACTTTGAATTAAACCAACTTTGAATTGAACCAACTCTGAATTGAACCAACTTTGAATTGAACTAACTTTGAATTGAATTAACTTTGAATTGAACTAACTTTGAATTTAATCAACTTTGAATTCAACCAACTTTGAATTCAACTAACCTTGGATCCAACTAAGCTTGAATTCAACTTAACTTTGAATTTAACTCACAACTTTATATTCAACTAACATTTTTGAATTCAACTAACAACTTTAAATTCAACTAACTTTGAATTCAACTACTTTGAGTTCAACTAACTTTAAACTCAACTACTCGAAATCTAACTACTCGGAATCCAACTAATCGGAGTCCAACTAATCAGAGTCCAGCTAATCAGAGTCCAGTTTCTCGGAGTCCGGTCACTCGGAGTCCAGTTATAGTAGGAATCAAGTTACTCTTAACTCAGTTACTCTGAACCCCTTGAATTCAGTTTCCTTGAATTCAGTTTCCTTGAATTCAGTTGTCTTGAATTCAATTATTTTGAATTCAGTTACTTATTTTAAATCAGTTCCTTTAAAGTCTGTTACTTTTGATTGTGAGAAATCTAGCTAAGAAAGCTCTATGTTTGCAATGACAGAGTCCGTGTCGGAATTCAAATTGAAATCCGAAAAGTCCTTCGATTACAAACTCCCAACCGTTGAGCCAAGAGATTGAACTAAGTTCAAATCACTCGAGCTCTAACTACTGTAGACCGAGTCGAGAAAACCTGCTCAAAAATGCTGGTAAACACGACTCTGGTATTACAAGGCTAGAGAATTAGCAATTAAAAAATATAAACTGAAATCTGACTAATCTTTTAATATAGTAATCCCTAACCGTAATTGAGCGAAGAGATTCGAATAAATTCAGATCACTCAAGCTCTTACTACTGAATAGACCGAGTCAAGAAACCTGCTCAAAAGTGCTGGTAAACACAACTTTGGTACTACAAGGTTAGGAAATTAACAATTCCCTGTTAAGAAATTCAAAAAGAGTGATCAAATTCTAGATCTTTATTAAATCCCAATTTGGAACCAAGCTTATTTTAATAAATTAAATTAATACTCCCTACGATGACACATACACACATGCAGCAAAACTACACACATGAACGTTTATTAGTTAATTAATTTAGTCTTAACTACCTGAATTATATTTAATTTCAATAAAATATAATTAGTTACTTAATCTTAACTATACTCTGTCCCCTTCTTTACTTTCCTACAGCGAAAACTAGAAGACTCGAAAGAGACAGGAAAATGAAAGTAAGTGCAATCACTTGCATTAATTTTATTTAATTTATCTAGTTAAACTTTATTCTTAACTACTCCATCCCCTTCTCTACTTTTCTTTCAACGAAAAGCAGAAGGCTTGAAGTTGAAAGAGACAGACAATTTACTTAAATGTATCTAGCTAAAATTTATTCTTAAGTATTCTGTCCCGTAAGTTCTCTACTACTTTCCCTCTAAAAGACACGAAAGAGACAGATAAATGCAGGTAAAATTCAAAACTGACACGAAAGTGACAGCATCAATAACTCAGAACAATATGCGAAATAACTGGCGTAGAATTATCCTATGCCGAGTTATATGAATAGACAATAAAGCAATGCACACACAACAGTAAAATAAATCCAAAACACACCAAACGCCTGGTAATTAATACCAGGTTAGCGAACACTCGAAAGAGCTCACACGAAAACGTAAACACGCTGCCCACGCTTGAAAAATGTGACACGTGCGACGCGACGGTAAATTCCGTAAAATCACGAATCACTGCACAGCAATGAAATACACACACGAAAAATACAAGACAATATTATAATGGAACGGAAAAATATAGCCAAGCGCAGATTCAGACGGAAATCGCAGCGCCAATGAAGTAAAATCGAGTGGTGAGTGAAAGAGATGATGAGCTAGATAGCGGAGTTACCAATACTACCGTTTTACTTACGGTGCGGTGAAATGAATGAAATGAAGAAGGAAACACAAGACACCGACTAAACATAAACTGACCTTATATTATCTCTACTTGTACTTCAGCTAAGCTCAGCATAGCTGTAGAAGCTCAGCTAATAACATGCTAACTCCCGGGTCTTGAGGTGAACCGGGAGTTCATGATTCGGGAAGCTAGGCGATTCTGGAGAATGTGTGTGTGTAACAATAGCTCAGCAAAGTCTAGAATGATGAGGAGGGGGGGGGGGGGGGCAGAGAGTATGTGCGTAAATGTAAATATCTTACGGAGTATAAAACCAGACCTGCCATCCTAAAAAAATCAAGAAATAAGTCTGTTACGACATAAACTTTTAGCGCTTACCTTTTATCACGTCAATTGTTTCAATTTCAAAAGGGATCTTGGTGTTTCTCAGAAAGAGGACGAGCGCACGACAAGGCTGTGAGCTATAATCGATGTAAACCTTGACAACCATGATGAAACTTAATCGTCAGAAGAGGACCCGAAGATAATGTGTCCTTCAGCAATGAAAATCAAGAAAAGAGTGCCTTATGTTCAAAATGGTGGACGACTGATCAAAGTCCAAAAAATATATGACACGATTAGCGATCACGTTGAAGATTTGTGCGGGCGTGTGTGCATGTTTGAAACAGTGCACTGTGTCTGGTTTACTGCCTACATATCATTGTATACTGTATCATGATTGTTCATGTCTACTGCCTCGATCGAGAGACCACGATCAATGACCTTGTTTAATGACCTCAATATTTAAAGTGACTAACGTGACATTTCTTTGGTAAAAAATAAATTTGTTTGCTGTATTTGCTATTTTTGCTTGTTTCACTTTGTATATCATCTTCTGTTAAGGCCTTCTTGCCCACCTATTATTATTGTTACGTCTTTCACCATTGCAACCACTTCAATCAAATATTAGTTTTATTTAGGGGAACCTATAATCTACAAGCTGAGCTTTTTGATAGGTTCCTCACATTTCAGCCTGTATAACCTACTATTCAATACAATTCTCGCTACCCCAAATAGCGATTCTGCCGAGATCCGGGGAAAATCCTGAAAACGCGCATTGCATTATGGGATAGCTTTTCGACATTACAGCTTCCTGTGCAGGCGGCGCGATAGCGCAAACGTAAAACGCCGTCGCCACACAACGTGTATGCACCGAATATGTCGTCTGCTCGGTCTTGTTTTTTTTTCGCAAATATTTCAACGTTTATTTGAACATTTCATTCGTTGTTTTTTGCGTCTTTTGACATCAGTGACGATGGTTTTCTTTTGTGAGGCTGCACAGTGCTGGGCTCATGATTCCAAGCGTAAGAACCCTGAAAAATGGGGGTGGATGAAGGCCGTGACTTGGGATGGGACTCTATACCGGAAGTTGTAGTGACGACCCGAGAGAGTGAAAATTACCTCGTCTCGCGAATTTCGAGATTTTCGTACCTATTTAGGGTAGCGAGAATTGATTTCGACGTCTTTACAAAGAATTGACAATTTTAGTATATTTTATATTATGTTCTAATTTTGTCAATTATGTTAATTCTTTTTTTGTGAAACTTTTGAAACTGTGAAACTTGAACTACCCCCTAGGGCAACCACTCCCTAGGACGACTACCCCCGGGACAACTACCCCCGGAAAACTTCCCCCAGACAATTATCCCCTTACGACAAGTTCCCCCTAGGACATCTGCCCTCTGGATAACTACCCCCCGAAAAAACCCAAGACAACTACCCCTACGACAACGGTCTTCTAGGACAACTACCCCCGGACAACTATCCTATAGGAGGTGTTTTTTCTGGAGGGGGGGGGGGTAGATGTCCGGGTGTTAAGTAGTCCTAGGGGGTAGTTGTCCTGGGGGTAATTGTCCTAGGGGGTAGTTGACTGGGGTAGTTGTCCGGGGGTATTTGTCCTGGAGGGTAGTCGTCCAAGAGGCTGGTTACCATAGGGGGTAGTTGTCCTTGGGGTAGTTGACTGGGGGGGGGGGGTTATCCGGGGATGGGTTATCCGGTGATGGGTGTCCAGGGGAAGGTGTCCGGATACGTGTTAGGAACCAAGCTTTGACATCAGCATGGAAGACGTGACTCAGTTTCGAACTGAGGTCCGCCTGAGCCAGTTTGGAGGCGAAGACAGTAAGCTGACCAATTGAACGTACCGCTAGACCAACTTCAATCTCCTATAGTCATGAAGGGATTTCAGGTATACTCGTAGCATGCTATGAAGCCCCCGGACACGCTATTGCAACGTGTGCCTACGAAGACCTCGGGCTAACATAGAACCGTGGGAGAAAACAGTTCTATAAAATGTCTTAAAAATCTAAATTGGTAAAAACCTAAGGGCGTCATGGACTCTGAAATTGCAACCTGAAGTTTGTGCCAGGCAGCCCCTGGACCCCATTTGTAAAGATAGAAGTGGTATCCCTTGACCTTAATCTAAGACAACCCGCTGTTTTATATAAATGTCCTTAGGAGACAATGTGTGTACGAGAGAGAGAGCAAGAAGTGATTTCCTTTGATATATAGCGATATGGGCAGTCCAAATTTCAGGGCGTAGACTACAGTTTCTATCGCTCAAGACGATTGTCTTGAAGTTTCTGATTTGCCTAAGCATATTGCACCGGTTGTCTCATTTTCGCTCGCTGGACGTATATAGCAGACGGCAATCGGCGGATTAGACGACACTTGGTAGTGAATATTGTATGTGAGATTGCTCTGCTATATATAAAATACAAGAACATTTTCCATATCTTTAAACTATCATTGGTATCTGATAATTGAACAGTTAATAAATTAAACCTACCAAACTACATAATACAATGAAATGATTGACTTAAAGTAGGGGAGTTTGATGTGGTGCACAATTGCACCCCTCTGTAAATAATCGAATAGTCCATGGCGATCATAAATATTTATGTATTTACTTACCTCGGCAAAATGCTTGCCTATACTAAATCGAAAGCATTACGGTGAGGGGGGGGGGGGGGTTGGCTGAAATGGACATAATGAACCTATCAAAAGTGATCTATGATAATTCATGCTTATTATCCTTCGTGTGCTTGACCTATTACAATTCCGTGGCAAATTGCTTCCAAAGTTCGACTTGTTTCACATGTGTTATATAGGCAATGGCGAGCTAGCGACCTATTTTGACCAAATTACGGTGGGTGAACTTTCATAAGTCAATATGGGACATGAGGGTTTCAATGAAAGAGCTAAAAAAAGAATTTTCAACGATTTGTTGGGTAAAAGTCAGTAGGCTAACATGTTAGGCTGCTGACTCTGACGATAGGGGGCGTTGTCAAATGAGACTAAACGGAGCTATTTGCTAGAGAACGTCCAGGGCTCCACACCTGGACCCCCAACATGGTCTGCCCTGCATCCCACAACCGCATTTGTTTAAATAGAACAACCCTTCATCCGCGTCAACTATGACCAGAGAGGAACAGATGAAGATCATTTCGCTGTTCAAACAAAATAATTGCGATTCCATGTACGCAAACAAGGTAGTTCGGATCAAACATGACTTGCATATGTTTCTCTTTTACATAACACGTACCACTTCAAATATGGATGATAATGTTCGTCTAAAATAGGAAGAGGGAAACGCAAATATTGGAATGATAGACAGTAGGCGTGGCGAAGGTCAGGTGCACAGTGTATTCACATTTTAAACGCCTAACATAGTCTCCTTCTCACTACTAAGGTAAACATTAGATCGCTTTATTCTTTACCCATAGTGCCCCTTTAAACGTTTAAAGAAAGATACGGAGAATCAAATGATGGTAACACCAAGGAGAAAAAAACGTGGAAATTAAAAAAGGAAAACATTCATGAATGTAATAAAACCATGAAATAATTGATCGTTTCATTTTTGACAATTCAAGATGTAAGACTAAACTTCATAATATCCCATCACACTTTCGGAAAAGTGCAATTGCTCTGCAAAATACGAAACAATAATGCACGTGTGCGGTTTGGTACTTTACAAATACCACTGGGCAAAATATTGCCCAATAAATGGTTGAGTTGACTATTGGCACAACGCTGGGCAAAGTGTTGGGAAAAATATTTCCCAATCTTTTCACAGTGTACCTTAATATTGGAATGGGTCGAAACACGATCGCAAATACTTTCGAAAAATCAACCCGGGAAATGTAATTGCCTTGGCCATCACCGACTGAAATGTGTTAAAATGACGCATTGGGCATGTTAGATATTTGGACATGGTTTCTAAGGGATATAGATTATGGTTCTGAAATTCACTTGTTTTCTTGATTGTCTTTGCGATTGTGATTTGAGTGGAAGCCTAGCATGATTCTGGTAATTTGACATTTACCATACACATCAATATTTGTTTTCCTGATAAAGAAATCATGTACAAATAAGATTTTTGACAAACCAATATTGAATCATGGTCTAACCATAGCTGTAGTAGATAGATATTTTCAATGGAAAGTATGAAGGCTAAAAAATGTCTGGATACACAGGCAAATATAATCTGCGATAAGTTATGAAATATATCCGTTAAAAAATGCAATTTCCATGCTTACTGTTTATTGTTTCAATTTCAACTTTAGTACATTTTAAGAGGATGGCGAGTGCTGTGAGCGAAGTTTGACGTAAAACCTTGACAACCCTGATGAATCTTGATCGTCATATAAGCGATCATAGCGAGAGTGTGTTCTACGAAGGTCAACAAAGAAGTAAATAGACTTAACTTTGGATGAAATATATTACAGCCCAAAGTATAGATATTACATTGAATTGTCGTTTAGGCAAGATAGGAACGTTCCCTTATTTCAAAAGGAGTTCGTGAAGGACAGTTCTTGATATTCATATTTCATGAGAGGAAAGTTGGACATATGCGTCGAAAGTGTATAATTTAGAAAAGAAAGTACCCGTTCTTTCTGGGTTAAAGCGAAGTTAATATTATTAACTGAATTCGAAGGGAGAAATCACTGGAACGCTTGCCCCTGTTCTGGCTATATGACCTGGATGCATTTTTTGTTCTATTTGTTTATGCTTATATTATTTGTTAAGCACGAAGGTCAAGTATCGATAATAGAATTATATGAGCAGTGCCAATGAGTGTTCAAGGATAGTGTTTGCCATTGATTGACTTTAAACCCTGAATCGTGAATGACTAACCATAGGAGTAGCGAACCTGTAGCGACAAACGACATGTAAGCTCCTTGATCTACCTCTTCCACTGTTAGCCATCATATACGCGTCGAGTACATCTATAGCTAGGTCAACTCTACGCTATGATTTCTCTCTTCATTCTGTTTTTTGTCAGTAGTTTTACACAATACCTGTGTTTTTCCAGCAAATATCGTCGATTCTTAACGAATCTTAAAACAGTTTCAATCTTGTTTTTCATGTTCATGTAAATCTTTACAACATGTTTCCGCTAGGCTCTCTCCACCATTTAGCCCCACCCCACCCACCCCACACACCGCACACATCCTCTCATACAGACTGTTCCCCTTTATTCTCATGTTTACTTCCCTCTTCTATTATATTTATATATTTTGTTTCCTTTTCGACCTCTGTACGTTCATCATCGTCATTTTTTATCTTTCTCACTTATTTTTTGTATTAAAAGAAAAAATACTTATCAACATAAATGTTTAAACTACGTGTCACTACTTATTTGCACTACCGTCGTTAGAAGTTAATGACAACAAGACAAGCATGTAGACAGATAACATAACGACAGATTTGCAAGTTCAATAGTTTATTACATTTTTAGTATTTATCATGACTATATATCAGGATCTGTATGCTATTGTACATGCAATCTCCCTTGAAGATTTTTTAATCTGTTGAATTTTTTCCTCCAGCAAACGGTCCTTTCATTCTCAAATGTTCGGTCGAACTTGAAAACATTCGTTCATAGACACATTAGGATATTTAGATAATTTTAAAATGGCTAAGTTAAATATAATGATTAGACGGAATGTAACATTTTATTTTCATGCATTCCTATGTCGTGAAAAGTAATAACAAAAAGAATGAGGATACAATCGTTCTAAAATGCAAAGTAGAAATTAGTAGGGACTTCAATTAATCTGTTTTCTAAAAGGGAGTGTGACATTCACATTGTAACTTTTTTATTCAGCTTTTGTGTCTTCATGATGTATCGCGGTCTAGTGGATATGTCATCGACCTGTGCATCACACATTTGGAAAAGGACAAACAAGATAGTCGGCGCATAACTCAAACATTGATACTGAAATCGGATTTGATATTAGAAAAACGTGACACATTAGGGAGACAAAAGAGAGAGGGAGAGAGAGAGAGAGAGAGAGAAAGAGAGAGAGAGAGAGAGAGAGAGAGAGAGAGAGAGGGGGGAGGAGGAGGAAGGGGGATGGAAAAGGAATGAGGGAGAATTGAGAGATAATTGTGAAGATCAAATGTTACATGGAGATTTATAAGACAAAGAGAGAAAATAATTTCAAAGATGAGAGGAAGAAAAAGAGCCGTAAAAGAAAAAACTGTTCGATAGACTCAGAGAATTGGGAATATGATTCGATTTGAACAACTTGTGGAAAAGTGAGACTCCTTTTAAAGCATTTGTACTGAAAATCTAGTTCCTTAATAGCTGTCTCTCCATGCATCCACGGCTTCGTGGACTTCATCAAAGGCAGGATTGAGACGATTCTTCACGCGATCTACAAAGGCCCTGAGTTTAGGTCTCCCCTCTGTTACATCCCGTCCATTTACAGTGTTTTCCATGATCTGATCCGTGATGGTAGCAAACAGAAAGAAAAACAAGTATTTGTATGTGGCTTGTGCTCGCATTTCAAGCATATGGTATAGTGAAGAATGAATGTTTTGATACGTACATGTACGTAAGTTTTATTTGACGCATTCTTCATAGCGCTAATAAAGAATGGTCTTTGGTTTGCTTCAACAAAAGCACATATTAATCGACTACGAGGGTAATGGTGCGAACTATCATCGCCGAGGTGATCTCGGGGCTACTATCTTCCCGAGCCGCAAGGCGAGGTAAGATGGTAGCCCCGAAATCACCGAGGCGATGATAGTTTGTATCCATTTGCCCGAGTAAAGGAGGTTAATATTTGTTTTATATCCCACATCGGCAATAAGGTCTATTTAAAGTGAATTTTACATAATTAAAACAACTGATTTTGCAGACAGTTTAGCTTCAGCTAGATTTTACAAAGCACAACATGCGTACATGTAATACAGTCGATGCGCGCTCATTTGACATTGACATTGACTTTGACATTTCGCGTAACCTACTTTGCTTTGCTTATTCAATGCGCAAGTCGCGCAAGTGGGGCAGCAGCAAAAAATTACTTTACAAAAAGACCTATCTCAGGTAGATAGTACTTATCTATACCTTTTTCGTGCTCTGTACAATTGCATTGCAAACAACTATACATGAGGGGTATAACATTTAATAATATTAATAATAATAATATTTTGTATTTATATAGCGCTTATCGCAAATGTCTCTAAGCGCTTTACAAATATACTATTATACCGGTCATTGGATTCAGTGCTTGCCCGCACATGCCGTGTGCACAATTTCCACTCCCTAGGGAGCATTCCAGCCAGGCGTTTCTTGCCGCTTTTTTTTTTTTTTGCAATGAAATTTATTTTGAAACAAATGAGACTTCTTAATTTATACCGATATCATTTTCGATAATGCTAATGTGATTGTATTTCAAGAAAATATGAAATAATGCAGGCCTATACCATAAACGTTATTTCTTATATTTTAATTCATTAGAAACCATAGAAGAAAGATTTGAATGAAACAAAACTCTGTTCCAGAATTAACTTTTAACATCGGTATATTAATTTCAACTCCTTAGTGTATAATAAAAAGGAAAATGGAGCTAGAAACAAAGAGAATGTGGAATTCTCCGTCAGAGAGAGAAAAAAGGAAGAGTATTCGGTGAATCCTTAGAAAGTATGGTCAGGTCGGTAGCTAACAGCACAGCCGCCTCAAAATTAATATTGCACGATTCTATATAACTTCGCATGAGTAAATAATATATTGACGAGATGACGATGGAGAAAAGATAATTATTAACAAACTAATGGGTAACAATATCAATTTCCGCACTAATTTTAATTATGATTTCTTCGTTATATTCTATACAGAGTCCATAAAACAACATCTCTTCAATTTTCCTTACCTCGGAAACAGCAAGCACGTCAGCGACAGAGATATCATCTCCAGCCAACCAATCATTATCCTGCAAGAAAGCATTCTCGAGCTTGTCTAGTTGTTTGGTTAGGTTTTCTTCGTCTCTCTTCAACCTTTCCTCCGATGCATGCTGCTTTCCTCCAGAAAACAATGGGATGAGGACCTATATATAAAGGGATAAATTGATTCAAAAAGGCAACACAAATTGAATATGTTATTTCAAATGGGTTTAGTTCCTACGGCCTTGACAATACCTGTGTTGTTCGGGTGAATAATGTTGAAATGTGATTTTAAGTTATATTGTAATCAATGTGTAAATATTCGTACACTGCCTTCAGGCTTTTTGTATTCAAGAGTTTCCCATCCTGTTATCATGTATATAGCATGCTGTTCTTATTTTACTATGTATATTCGCATTGTTTCCAGCTTGTCTAGTTGTTAGGCTAGGTCTTCTTCTTTCTTCAACCTTTCTTCTGATGCATGCTGCTTTCTTCAGGTACACAACGGAATACCGACCTAGAGGGACGAAAATTACTTGGTTATATCGCCTAAGGTGAGAGTCGGGAGGCCTGTTAACTTTACGCAATCGCCCATAAGGAAAAATCATCATCACAAATTTCCCTCACCCGAAGATTCTTGGTGGGACGTCCAATTCGTTGTCCAAGATACACCCATTAATGGTATTTCCACTAAATCCACTGTCAGCTTATTATGACACAATGCATATGGAAAATGCCAACTTTATCTCTTTATTAAACAGTCCCACCAGGACCAGACCAAGATGTCGGTATGGTTTTGGGGGATCCTGAGTTATAGTTATGAATTCGACTCGTGTAAATTGGGCCATTTGTTGCGGAGCAATGTCAAAGAAACATTTGTCATGAGATCAGGCCAGTATCACATGCTTTTACCTCACCTCACTGACGAATATATCACAGCATCCTCCTCTTGTTCCTGTATGGTGAAAGGCCATGTATTCATCAACTCTGGCTCTTTTCTTCAGGTCCTTCGGGTACCAGTGGTCTGGGACTAGGTCTGCATACTTCGTTGCCAAGTACCGAATAATCGCCACGCTGTTTTGATAGGAAAATAACATTTTATATTAATTGTAATAAAACTCTGTCTGAAGTTCCTTTTCTTTTCTTAGCATTATACGTTACTCAGGTGAATATCATGAACATTTTAGTAATGTTCTAAGGCGTCTTTTAAATATCCTTTTTCATCGCATGTTCAGTTATAAACGAAATGGATCAAGCGATTCAAATATACGAATCAGGTTAGAGACATAAAAATACTTTAACCCAGATTTCTCACGATAATATATTTTGTTAGTCTATAAGCCTCTTATGGAAATTATTGATCTTAAATTCCATTAATACTAATTATTATGCAAAATTTCTTTGAAAAGCCTTAACGCCTAAGACCTTTTAAGATGACGATGAATCTGAATTTCCACTATTGATACGTTTTCTTCCTACTACGTATTCTATTGAATATAATTTGTAAATTTTTAGTTATTACCCATTTTGAGTTTATTCATACCTGATACTCAATTACAATACAATATGCCTGAAGGGTGTATATGACTTCTAGAAATTAAGAAAGAGAAATAAAGCAGCTCACGTTTCCCCCATGCTGAAATCCCCATCTTGAATAGCAGGTACTGTCTGCAGAGGAGTCACTTTTCCGAACTCGGGTTTCCTGTTATCACCTGAGAACAGAGCATAAATAACAATTCATGTAGTAGTAGTAGTAGAAGTAGTAGTAGTAGTAGAAGTAGTAGTAGTAGTGGTAGTGGAAGTAGTAGTAGTAGTAGTAGTAATAGTAGTTGTTGGTATAATACAACTAGCAGTAATGGTATAGAAGTAGTAGTAGAAGTAGTAGGAATGATGGTGGTGGTAGCAAGAGAATTAGTAGAAGTAGAAGAAGTAGTAGTAGTAATAGTAGCTGGAGTAGTAGTAGTTGTTGCTGTAGTGGTAGTAGTAGTAGTAGTAGTAGTAGTAGTAGTAGTAGTATTGTTAGTGGTACTAGTAGTATTGTTAGTGGTACTAGTAGTAGTAAGTTGGAAATTGGTTATCACTGTCCTAAAAATGAAAACTGTGTCTCAATAAAGAGCAACGTCTCTTTTTTGCAGATTACATGGACTTTAAATATGCTTGGACTATAAATTTGATGACGTCAAATACGAACCGTCCAGGCTAGGCCCTATAGTAAAAGGCCCGAACCCAATTTGTATGTATATACAATGTTTTTCGAATGATTCTTGTCAATTCGAGGGTGCTGATTCCAAATCCGATGAGTGCCAGAGGCGGAACCTTGAGAGAATGCTTAAATTAAAAATGGCCGCCAAGATGGCCGCCAATTTATGAAAAAAATTATTCTATGACCATTTGTCAGGTTATTTGAAGGATTTTCGCGTCAATTTGAGGATGCTGATACAGAATCCGACGAGTACGCACGTGAAACCAGGATCTTTTAGAAAATACGAACATCCAATATTGCCGTCAAATAAAATTAGTCACGCCTTAAGACCATTTAATATGAGCACCATTTTAAATGTAAAAATACCACCCGCAAACAAAGATACAATCAGCCACACACACGCTCACCCCCCACACACATACACATCCACTTACCCCTCACACCCACACAAATATATACCACAAACATCACATAAAGTGAGCACTCAATTTTTTTTTTGCCCTCGAAAATTTAAAAAAATTGCACCCCCCTCCCTTGGGCGCCAGGGGGAGGGGGGGGGGGGTGCTCATCTCCCCAAAATGGTAAAAATAGCGTTAACAAATAAAAAAAATTCTCGGGGGGGGGGGGGGGTAGACCCGCCCCCCGGGACCCCAGTATTCGCCACTGCCCGTACCACTTACGAAGGCAACACGAATATGTGGATTTGTAATAAGAAGTGTACCCGCAGGCCACACGTAGGCCACACGAAGGCCACACGAAGGCTACTCGAAGGCCACACAATGGATACACGACGTCGTATTGAGAGTACGATGCGTCCCAACTAGGTCACTTAGGCGTCACGTGACCCCCCCCCCCCCCCCCGATGGTGTACAACCTTCGACCGACGGTGGGAAAGTCAAATGCTAATCGGAAATTAATGATGCTCAGAGCAGGGGCGTCGGAGCGACTTCCAAAATTGGGGGATGGGACTAACAAAAAGGGCACTTTCTGGTAAAAAAAAAGGGCACCTACGAAGGGAAATCTCTAATCGAATATATACAATTTGTTAGACCATGGTATGTACCCCTATACATTGTGGTTACAATAACAGGGATGCTTTCAATATTTATTTCTCTTTGTACATCCTACAATATAAGCATCATACTTTGCAGTTGGGTATGATGGTCTGAATATTCAATTGCGAGCGAGGAAAAATGCTACATCTTATAAAGAGAATTAAATCCAATACTGATGGGGTTATAGTCACATTCTCATAACGGAAGACTGAAAAGACCTTTGATATGTAACATAATTATATCATCTATGCAATCAATGCAAGTGAGTGTAGAGAGCGAGCTTTGGGAGAAATCGCCCTTAAATATTCATTTTAAATTAGGGGCACCTCTGAACAGAGAAAAAAAGGGGACACTTATTGAAAAGGATAAAACACTTATTTCTTATACCTGAAAAGATGCACTCACCAGGGATTAAAAAGGCACTTATGAGAATGGTAAATGGAAATTTGTGGAAGGAATTGGAGCACCCATCAGATTTTGATAGAGGCATTCATAAGAGTTGAAACTGGGAATCAATGAAAAGGGGATAGGTCTCTTATTAGAAAGGAAAGGGGGCACGTATCATTGTTAAAAAGGAAATTGTCAGAGGTGTAAAGGGGCATTTATCGCCCCTGAAAAGACGCACTGACTAAATATGAAAAGGTGTACTTATGAGAATGAAAAAGGACACTTTTAATAGGTGAAAAAGGGGCATTTATGGGAAGGGGAAGGAGCTCTTTTGTTTTAATGGGAGGGGGGGGGTACTTATCATACGGAAAAGGGGGCATTTATTAGATTGGAAAAGGGGCACACGTGAAGATAAAAGGTGTACTAATGGGAGTTAAAGTGGGTAGTTATTAAAAGGGGAAGAGGCACTTCCTATAAAGGGAAAGAAACACTGGTCAAAGTAAAAGGGGCACCTCTCAAATAGAATAGGGTAATTATCAGAGGTGAAGGGGGGCACTTGTCAAAAGTGAAATTAGCCGAATTACAAACAAAGTTTACAAACAAAATTAAAAACACATAATTAAATATAAAACATTGCATAACATGATACATTGAATGTAAAAAAACAAATTCAGTATAGATACGAGAAATATAGCTTATTGCAACATATGTCTACGTTACCATAACACATGGGAAACGCTTGAGCTACTTAAATTCGGCTGTCTTCGCCGACACCGTGGTCCCGTCTGGATGTCATCGTACTATAATAAGATGGCTACACGATGGCATTGCGAGAGTTTCACGTAGTCGTGTTGCCTTCCGAAGACATTCGGGCAGCTTCTTGTTTACTTTGTATTGTCTTCGTGAGGCGATAAGTGCCCGTTGGCACCGATGATCACACGAAGTTATTACGAAGATGACACGATATGACATGATGCCCTCACGATGGTCTTACGAAGGGCAACATGGACTCAGGAATACAACACGAACATGAACCTTCGCAACGTCTTCGAGCAATGTTTGGCACGCCAAAGATTTTGCCACCGCTCACGAAGTTGCTACCGGAGCTTGACAAATCGACCGGTGGTCATACGATTGCCACAAATGCCCACACGAATGGCCCGATATGGCTCGATGTGATTACGATCAGAGCCGAATTTGGAATTTTCCTTCATCGTGTGTCCATCTTATGTCAACTTCGGAACAGTGTGACGCGGGCATTACTGTAGTTCAATATCGATTTACCCCCACCCCCCCCCCCGACATCACCAACAACAAAATTGAGAAGAAAAATGATTTTAAAAGGGGAATGGAGATTAGGTGTTTGGAACGATGAAATCCTTTACATATACTCTATTTGATAGGAAAATCCCGAATATAAAACCCCAAAATTATGTATATAGCTTCGGGGGGGGGGGGGGGGGAAGAAAGTATGTACGGGGGAGGGGATTCGTAATTGTAAATATCTTACGGAGTACAAAACCAGACCTGCCATCCTAAAAAAATCATGAAATAAGTCTGTTACGACATAAAGTTTTAGCGCTTACCTTTTATCACGTCAATTGTTTCAATTTCAAAAGGGATCTTGGTGTTTTTCAGAAAGAGGACAAGCGCACGACAAGGCTGAGAGCGATAATCGACGTAAACCTTGACAACCATGATGAAGCTTAATCGTCAGAAGAGGACCCGGAGACAATGTGTCCTTCAGCAATGAAGATCAAGAAAAGAGTGCCTTATGTTCAAAATGGTGGACGACTTATTAAAGTCCAAAAAATATATGACATGATTAGCGATCACGTTCAAGAGTCGCGCGGGCGTGTGTGTATTTAGGTTTTTACAGACGTGCATTAATCCGATATCATTGTTTGCGTCTAGGGACCGGTTCTAGGATGCCTACCCCCTGGACGTCCACCCCGGATAATCACCCCCAGTCAACTACCCTAGGGACACTAACCCCTAGGACAACAGGGCCTGGGGCGTGGCGCAGGTGAATGTGTTTCCTTGCCTTGGGGCTTTCTGGGAGCAGACGTGCATAGATTTTAATGCATGCTTGAAACAGTGCACTGTGTCTGGGCTACGGCCTACATATTATAGTATATTAATATATCATGAATATACTGCCTCGCTCGAAACACGACGATCAATGACCTTGTTTAATGAACTCAATATTTAAAGTGACTAACGTGACATTTCTTTGGTAACAGATTAATTTGTTTGCTGTATTTGCTATTTATGATTGTTTCACTTTGTATATCATCTTCTGTTAAGGCTTTCTTGCCCACCTGTTATTATTGTTTCGTCCTTGATAGTTTCCTCACATTTCACCCTGTAAAACTTACTATTCGATGGAGTTAATTTCGCCGTCTCCACTGAAAATTAATTATATAATGTGACACTTTTAGTATATTTCATATTATGTTCTAATTTTGTCAATTATGTGAATTTATTTTGGTGAAACTTTTGAAACTGTGAAACTTGAAATACCCCCTAGGGCAACCACCCTTAGGACGACTACCCCTACGACAACGATCTTCTAGGAAAACTAACCTCCGGACAACTATCCTAGGAGGTAGTTTTCTGGGGCGGGGGTAGTTGTCCGGGGGTAGTTGTCCTAGGGGGTAGATGTCCTGGGGGTAATTGTCCTAGGGGTACTTTACTGGGGTAGTTGTCCGGGTTTTTTTGTTCTGGAGGGTAGTCGTCCTAGAGGGTGGTTGCCCTAGAGGGTAGTTGTCCTAGGGGGTAGCTGTCCTAGGGGGTAGTTGACTGGGGGGGGGGGGGTTATCCGGTGATGGATGTCCAGGGGTAGATGTCCAGATACATGTTAGGGACCAAGCTTTGACGTCAGCATGGAAGACGTGACTCAGTTTCGAACTGAGGTCCACCTGAGCCAGTTTGGAATCGAAGACGATGGTCAGCAAGGAAGTGAATAGACTTAAATTTTGATGAAATATATCATAGTTCAAATATAGATATTATATTGAATTGTCGTTTAGGCAATAGGGTTGTTCCTTTTTTTTACGGGGTTCGTGAAGGACAGTCCTTGATATTTATATTTCATGACAGGAAAGGAGTTCATTTTGCGTCCAAAACGTATAATTTAGAAAGAATGTACCCGTTCTTTGTGACGGTTATTAGAAACTAAAATTGTACAAATTCGGAGAGAGAATTCACTGAAACGCTTGCCCCTGTTGTGGCTATACGACATGTATGCATTTTTGTTTTATTTGTCTGTGCTTATTGGTTGAGCACGAAGGTGAAGTCTAGATGATAAAATAATATGAGCACTGCCAATGAGTGTTCAAGGATACTGTTTGCCATTGATTGACTTTGAACCCTGAATCGTGAATGACTAACCATCGGAGTAGCGAACCTTTGGAAAAACGAAATGTAAGCCCCTTGATCTACCTCTTCCACTGTTTGCCATCATATACGCGTCTAGAGGTAGGTCTCAGACCCCCTTCCCCCGTTTTTCCCACGGTGTCGGCGAAGACAGCCAAATTTAAGTACCTCAAGCGTTTCATATGTGTCATCGTGCGAAATTCAAAATTCTATATTCCAAGTGTCCATCGGGACAGTGTGACGCGGGCATTAACGAATTTTAAATCAAGGTAAAAAACAGTTTCAATCTCGTTTTTCAAGTTCATGTAAATATTTACAAACACGCACACGTCCTCTCATACAGGCCGTTCCCCTTCATTCTCATATTCACTTCCCTCTTCTATTCTACTATCTATTTTTTATTCTCCTTTTCGACGTATGTACACTGAGAATCGTGAATTCTCTCTTTCCCACTTATTGTACGTAATTATTAAAAAAAATACTTATTAACCTAAATGTATATTAAACGTATGTGCCACTGCTTACGCTTACATTACCGTCATTACAACTACCACAATTATACAATTTCCACACAACTGCGCCAGGAGTGTCATTTTTGACAGACATGGCGCATTATAGATGTTAACTATTATTTTTATGATTATTATTATTAGAAGTTAATGATAACAAGACAAGCATTTAGACAGATAACATAAGACAGATTTGCACGTTCAATAGTTTATTACATTTGTACTATTTATCATGTCCATATCATGATCTGTTTGATATTGTGCTTGCAATCGATCTCTACTGGAGGTCGCTCTAATGTATGTACACAAGTTTTCCTCCAGCGAACAATACTTTCATTCCCAAATGTTCGGTCGAACTTGAAAACATTCGTAAATAGTCCCACATTACAATATTTAGACAATATGTTTTAAATGGTTATCCAAATAACAAATTAACATTGTAATGTCTCCCTATGTCTTGGAAATGTCAAGAAGAAGAATAAAACTATCCTAACATATAAAGTAGACAATTGTAGAGAATTCAAAGAAACTGATCTTCATAAGGGAATCTGATATTCAAATTGTAGGGCTGCCACTCTCCACCCTAGTATAGTAGATGGGTACCTAGTTGGAATGTATTCATTGAATGCTTTCAGCGCCTCACGGCCTCTGGGCTAAAGCAAAGGGTAATAAAAGTACCTTGTAGGGCATTAAACAACCACTGGGATAGACACGTATACAACATAAATGTAGCTATTATTATCTTTTGTGGAAAGGAAAACGTGCAGACAAATACCAAAGAAAATACTCCATTACAAGTGAACCTGAAGGAAAAGGACCCCCAAAAAGATAAAGAAACAGTCGGCGCATAGCTGAGATATTGATCCTTGCAAAATGCATAAAATGGTATGTTTGAAATTTAAATTTGTTCCACAAAAAAAACAAAAAACAAAAAAAAACGAGCGGCCCGAAAATGACGAGCGGGCGGTCGAGGACAACCAAATGATATTTCTTTTTGCATAATGCTTTTAACTCACCTCACTGATGAATATCCCACAGCATCCTCCACGTGTTCCTGTATGGTGAAAGGCCATGTATTCATCAACTCTGGCTCTTTTTTCCAGGTCCTTTGGATACCAGTGGTCAGGGACTAAGTCCGAATACTTCGTTGACAAATACCGAATAATCGCCACGCTATTTTATTAGGAAAAAAACATTCGATATTAATACAACTCTGTCTGAAGTTCTTTTCCTATGCTTAGCATTACATTTTACTCATGTGAATAACCTTTCCGGTTTAGTCATGTTCTAATGCATCTTTTAAATATTCTTTTCATCGCATGTTCAGTTATAAATAAAATGGACGAAGCGAATCAAATAAACGAAATAAAATCACAAATTGTAAGGTTTAATAGAGACTTATTTATATTTTAACCCAGCTTAATTCGCTCGATTATTTGTTTTGTTACTTTATATAACTCTTATGGAGACTATTGATTTTTGATTTCATTAAAGGGTTTACATGATTTCTAAAAATTTAGAAAGAGAAATAAAGCAGTTTACGTTTCCCCCATGCTGAAATCACCATCTTGAATAGCAGGTACTGTCTGCAGAGGAGTCACTTTTCCGAACTCAGGTTTCTTGTGATCACCTAAGAAAATGGCAGAAAATGATAGTAGTAGTATTAGTAGTAGTAGTAATAGTAGAACATAAATATTATTATTATTAGTAGTAGTAGTATTATATGTAGTAGTGGTATTAGTAGTAGTAGTAGTAGTAGTAGTAGTAGTAGTAGTAGTAGTAGTAGTAATAGTAGTAGTAGTAGTAGTAGTAGTAGTAGTAGTAGTAGTAGAAGTAGTAGTAATAATAGTAGTAGTAGCAGTAGTAGTAATAGTAGTAGTAGTAATAGTAGTAGTAGTAGTAGTAGTAGTAGTAGTAGTAGTAGTAGTAGTAATAGTAGTAGTAGTTGAAGAAGTAATAGTAATAGTAGTAGTAGTAGTATCAGCAGTAGTAGCAGTAGTAGTAGTAGTAGTAGTAATAGTAGTAGTAGTAGTAGAAGTAGTAGTAGTAGTAGTAGTAGTAGTAGTAGTAGTAGTTGTTGTTGTAGTAGTGGTAGTACTAGTGGTGGTAGGGGTAGCAGTTGTTGTAGTGGTTGTAGCAGTAGTATTGTTGTAGTAGTAGTGGTTGCAGGCGTGCCGGAAGCAGTTTGGGATTTGTGTTAGGGGGGGAAACATTCCAGGGGGCTCACCTTTCAGGGGGCAGTGGCGTAATGAACAAAAACTTTGGAAAGGGGGAACAGAAGAAAAATATGCATCACCACCACTCTTACACGTTACATGCAGGTCTCGAGTCTCCACCCCCTGAACCCCCACACCAATTTACGCTCTGCTCGCTTCGCTCGCTACCCTCTACCTGATCATAAATACTTTAGCCCCCCCCCCCACTTTGATAAATGTTCTGCGAGGCGTGTGTATATATACGCATAAAAACACTGATCTTTATGATGTCTCTAACGTGACAAAGCTTCTTCTCCCCTTGCAAACGAGAATGAAAACAAGGTCGACAAGGATTAAGTGACAAATCATGATTGTGATTCAAATTGATGCAAATATTTGTTTGAATAAGCACTGCTATTCACCAGAATCTTCTTTATAAAAACAGCTTTTACAAATCTCAGCCATGCTTACTGAGTTGAAACGTTCCATTTAATTTAAAATACTCATTAAAGAATACACTTCTCCTAATCTAAAAGTGATCTTACAGCACAGTGGCAGAATTGCATGGCTGAGATTTGTAAAAGTCGTTTTTACGAAGAAGATTCTGGTAAAAGGCACTGTTTATTCAAAAAAATCTTTGCATCAATTTGAGTCACAATGATTATTTGTCGCATGATCCTTTTGTCAAATAACCTTGTTTTCTTTTTTGTTTGCATGGGGGAGAAGAAGCTATGTCACGTTAAGAAATCATAAAGATCAGTTGTATTATGCGTAAATACATATGAATACGGAACAAAATGTAGATTATCAGAATGTCATTTTGAAATACCTCTATAAAAAAATACCCGATCTTACTGTGCCGATACCACATTGTCTTTAGCCCGTATCAGTAATAGTATGACCCAATATAAATATATTATTCTTTATTCAGTTCAGTATAGGCCTGATGCTTTTCCTCAAAAATAGTTTTGCTATTTTTTCTGCTCCCTCTCTCTCTCTCCCTCTCTCTATTTATTTTAATCATGCATTATCAACTACATAGAAAGTGAGAGTTAGACTGAAAGTCATGTAGAAATGGCGCTTCAACTCCCCCCCCCCAAAAAAAAGGGGAAAAAAAAGAAGGAAAAATAGGGGTCCTCTTCTCCAGCATCCCCCTCCCCCCGCTTATTCACCGGCCGTGAATGTTCTCTTACCCCCCCCCCCCCCCCCCAAAAAAAAAAAAAAAAAAAAAAAAAAAAAAAAAACACCTTTTAGATATACTATATTTGCAAAGGTTAACCCGAATATAATACCCATAGGTTATGTTTATCATAATACATACATTGTAAAACGTTTGTATGCAAAATACTGTTCTCAAGAAAGAAATTATACAAACATATACTAGTATATCAATTCAAATAAAATTAACAACAATACATGTACTGTAACATGTATAGAAAATACTTAGTTGGATCACCGCATAGGCTGGTGGGGGGGGGGGGGCAGACAATGTATAGGATAAAACCCGTAACTGTAAAATGTTATAACAACAAAAAAGTCATCCTCGAGAAATCATGATATAAATCTGTTACGAGATTAACTTTGAGCGCTTACCTCTTGTAATACCGATTGCTTTAATTTCGAAAGGGATCTTGGTGTTTTTTAGGAAGATAACGAGAGCACGGCAAGGTTGTGACTGGAAATCGATGTAAACATTGACAACCATGATGAAACTTCAGAAGACGACCTAGAGATAGTGTGTGTCGTTCAGCAATGTAGATCAACAAAAAATGACTACTCTTCAATAAGGTGGATTCACAATATTCCATCGACAAGCCGCGACAAACCAATTTGTTTCAACTTGCGAGTCAGCATCTCGAAACTATAGTCCAAATTATTGGCGATCACAATGAAGAGTCGCGTAGGGATGTTTTCCTTTTATAAAAGGAGGGAATAACAAAGGCAAGTCCATCCTCCAGGAATCCTGGTCATCGTAGCGTTGCATGTGACTGATTTAGAGAGAAGGTACTTGCTTTTTTTATTGGGAAGACGACAGTGATTTTGGAAAACTATATTTATACCAATGATTCAGGAGAAATTTTCGAAACACTCGCCCCTCCAATAGTCGTTTGACCCACAGGCGAAGTTTATTCGTCCAGATGTGTTTACTCTGATCGATGGTAAGGTTTAGTTAATACAACAACAAAAAAGCATTGTTGATTACAGATACGAAAATTGTATATGTTCACTAGACCGACAGCCCGTGGCACCAAACACTATTAACGTGACGGACGAAGAAAGAGGACAAAATATACAGTTTCTCAGGTAGACGAAGGAACATTCCTTCACTGCAATTATGTACAAATGTGTAGAACAGGTGAATATGCATGTGACACCTGTTCTACACATTTTTACATACTAGCAGTGAAAGGATGTTCCTGTGTCTACCTGAGGATCTACATATTTTGTCCTCTTTCTTTGACCATCATGTTCATAGTAAACATAGAAAGAAATTCATATGGAAAGGTAGTTTAATGTCGACCTGTGGGGCATTTCACAAAACTTGTCATCAGTGACAAATGACAGTTTGTGTTATAAGCTACTGAAAATCTTGCTTCTGATTGGTTATCAACAGAATTGTCACTGCTTTGTGTCATTTGTCATTTAAAAAAGGCTTTGTAAAACAGGTCCCTGCATGGTGTTTTTGGTCTCATCGGTCTAGTGACCCTCTAAAGAATTGCTGGGAGGCTCACGAGTCACGAGAAGGACATTCTTTGTCAGGTGGACTGTCGTTCTAGTATGGTATCTGTCTCTGGATGTCAGATACAGATTTAGTCCAGTGAACCCTAAATACAGTTGTCACAGAGGGGGCAAATCTGCCCATCCTCTCGGCTGTTCTGTAAGCTGTTTGTCTCGTGGGTTGTAGTCGAATGGAATTAATTGTATTGTTAAATCATATTTTTTGCAATAGTAATTGCTTCTAATTTTCCTAAAATGTTTTTTCCTCACATTCTTGACACATGATGAATGTTGAGTCATTAGGTATTATTCAACGATGTTGTTTGATACCTATACAGGATTTGATTATGTTAGGGGCACAAGTTGTATGGGTAGATTTTCTCCCTTGAATTCGCCATTACAGAATTTTGAACTTTTGACTGAAAATATTGACCCAAGTAAGATGGTCCTAAGTATCGAAGGGTCTAACGTTTAGATTGTGGAAAACACGAATTGCCGTTTCTGTTATATGAAATCTAGTCATGAGCGGACTATATAATAATATGAGGCGGGCACATTATGAAACCATTTGATTAAGATAAAACTTTGCAAACATCAGAACCAAAAAGTGATGTCAGAAACCTTTCGTGTTGTTTGTCATATGTGATTTTATTTCATTTGACAAAATTCGTGTCACAATCTACATATGTCACAACACTATACATGCTATAAGAATGTTCTGGTAAAAAGGAAGATACACAAATCATATAGCTAATTTAGGTTAATTCCGTTAAAATTCAATGTAATTACACTGTACTTGACATTCAAACGTATTAAGAAATAAAAATTACATTTTTAGCTATTTCTACTATAAAACCTATGACATTTACAGATTAAAATTGGTATTGTCGTATTGGAAATACACTGTTTATAGTGACGTTGTCTGCTAAACCCTCTCATTGACTTGATCGCGGTTGATTTTCATAAACGAGGCCATGGAATACGTTTCAGACTGTTTTCCCTTAAAACAAATTGATTAAATTAAATTAAAAATGTCCATCCTTCTTATTTCAGAGGGACGATTAATACTTTTAAAACAAATGATTTATATTTATTAATATCAAACACGATGTAATAGCATTCGTGGGCTGAAGCTTTTTGAATAAAATTCAATGAAGCTAAAATTTATTATACTGTGAGTGAAAGAGGAACTTCAGGTTGTGCAGATTTGGCCTCAAATATCTTACAAATGAAATACAAGTCCATACAATTGTCTTTCATAAAATATAAATCAAATTTGACGATGGCCAATTACCGACCTCTGGTTTTCCTAAAGCATGTTGAGTTCATGCTTGTCCAAGTTAGAAAGGAGAATTTGGTTCAGACGTCCATTTAAGAATGTTGCATGCTTTTTTTCAATCTCCACTGGCAATGTTCAAATAACAAAAACAGGGCTGACACACTCCTGGTATTTTCTTGCTATAAATAGCATGAATAAAGCGAAGATTTACATGTATAATTTCATTTTTACTGCGCTTAGATATTGTTCTATAAAATACATTTGGTGAGGTTGGAAATGTTGAAAATGGCGGAAAGACTATAAATGGGTTAAAATCCTTCCTTTTTTGTTCGGAATTTCGAAACTATTCCCAAGACGAACTGGTCCTATTTTCACGTTTATCATGCACGTTCTCCGTCGTGTTAACATCTAAATATTTTGGTGGTTAGATATGGTTTTTTTTTGTCAACAGAGACCCGGACTGCATGATCCGAGACAGCATGGTAGGAATCTCTACAGTGGCAACGCTACACTTCGTTGATCTTGAGCTCATTTGGTTTTGCAACACCTGCCTGCGAGGAACAGCCGCAATCTATACAGGGTGTACATCAAACATTGTACCACAAACAGGACTACTGCAAGGCCCAGCAGGTACGCGCAGGTTAAGCCGGGAATATCTTCCCAGTTCAAGATAGGGTAGATGTATCTGTTGCCGTATGGGTCCACACCACCCGCTGCCCAGAAGATCAAGGAGAACACAGTGTAAACCAAACTGTACATGATGACGTAGACGATGTGGGTTATTCTAATCGGATGAGCCGAGACGAATAGGTCTATTACGATCAACACACTGTTCATACCGTGGACATTCACGTTTACACCGTCGCCCAGCGGATCGCGTGAGCCGTCATCATTGCTGTAATCGTGTAAAAGAGCCCAGTACACGATAGATACGAGCGGGGCAATGGCGATGTTGATGTTGAAGAGAATCCAGGTTAATTTGAAGTACCAAGGATTCGAGCGCGATTCTTCATTTGCAGATTTAGTAGCATTTATGCTGGAGCTAGACGGATTGGTTTTAGGTGATCCATTACCTTCCATATTCGGCATCTCATCATCTGCCACTGTAATTTATACATACAATTAGGGAAATCCCATCATCAATCATATTTGATACAACAAATCAACCTTTTAGAATATCATAATCTTTGAATTATATGTAAAGTACGGGGGGAGCAACCATTTGGCTAACCCTCGTGATTGACTAAAAAGTAAAAGTGCATGACTTGTACGTGCCCCTAAATTTTACCGCTGGTAGCAATTTAGACTCCACGTGCGAAGTACCTCAAAATAGGATTACTTTATTTTAAATGCTCCGGACATGCCGAAACCTGAAATTGAGAATATATGTGATATACAATTAATGGGGATTTAATGTAACTTTCAATTTGACTATTGAAAAGAATATGACAAGATGCATAATGCAATAGAGAATTTGTTGAAAATCTGTCCGGGGTATGTTGGTGAAGGTTGTTGACTCTAACACAAAGGTTCTTGGATTCGATCCTTGTTTAGCACTTACATTCTTGGAAAATGTGTTCACGTTTGTCCCTATCGACCCAAGTGTTTCTAATGGGTACATGACAATGCTCGGGGGGGGGGGGATTGTAATTCCCTCAGAAAGAGCTGTACTAATGCTCATAAGATTGTTAATAGTTGAGTTAATAAAGCCAATATTATTACTCTGATTTATTTTTGGACCGATGATTGTTATTAATCCTTTTTGAGAAAGACAGTATTCGTTGCTCTTCTGTAATTTTGATTTAATTGTACTAACCAAACGACGGGTTGACGATGCCCTCTTCAACTTTGCATACATCGGCCGTCGTTTTCTGTCTCTTCTTGCTCCCGCAGAAGAAGAACACCGAGGATAGTGCCGCCACTATACCATATACAGTTAGGATGATGAAAGACCAGTTGGTGAGGTAGATCAAATACAAGGCCCCGATGGACTCTACTTGCCATGTGGTGTTCATCGTCATCCACACGACGAGGTATACCATGAAGAGGACCCTGTATATTTGGTAGGACCATCCTGGAATCGGCCACTTGAAAGAGCGAAAAATGAAATATAATCAAAACAGAGACAGGGGGAGAGAGAAAAGGTCAAAGCGACTCAGGATTTAGCATTTATGTAGAATCAATCTAAATTGCAAGATCGTAGAGAGGTAATAGATAGGATTAGATCCACAAAGAAGACCCTGTACACTTTGTAGAACCATCCTAAAGGCCACCTGAAAAAAGAGGAAAATGACAGGTTAGTGAGACAGAGACAAAAGGGAGAGAGAAGTCAAAATTACAGAGACGTATCATACCACTGAATTTATCCAAAGTGCAAGAACACAACCGCTTTGAAAGAAAGTCGAAGAGAGGATTAAATCCATGAAGAGCCCCCATTTACTTTGTAAAACCATCCTGGAATAGGCATCTTGAAGGTTAGGAAGAAAGAACACAGTACAGAGGTGGAATAGTAAGACAGACAGACAGAGAAAGTCAATGTTGATTTAAATAATTCAATGTAACTAGGACTTACATTCCCACAGGCCAATGGTACGACAAAGAAACACCAGCGAGTGAAAGAAAGATATGGCACAATCATTCAAAAGGATACTTTATACTTGGTAGGACCATTCTGGAATTAGCAACTTGAAAAAAGAACAAGAGAAAGGGGAAAAAATCATTATGCACAACTTAAGATTTCATTATTAAGGTGTAACTTTTAACATGACATAATTTTTTGTAATAGATCACATACATGCTTAGTTTTTTTAATCGGTATACCACTATATGATTATGTTGCAGTAAATTGTTTCAACAATTTCATTGTAGGTATAAAGCAAATGAACTTATGTTCCCATGTTGCCATGCACGGCAATATACGTTAATAACATGTCAAACAAGGACTACGGTTTATTTACTTACAAAAGATTAAAGCAAATATGAAGAGTGGTTGCCACGGCTAATGCAAACGTTTTGCTGTACAGTCAGGGAATAGTTCAATGGTAATTGATCTGATAATGGAGTTAACTCAAAGCTTAAGTCCATGCTCAAACAGGTTGTTTAAAGACCGTCAATACTACTGGGCCAGAAGGGATTAGACCACACAGCGAGGTCACTGACAGGTGGCTATCTCATTATTTAAACTCAGCTCTCAACTAACATAAGAAAAAGAGGATCATGGGGAACCAACAGGCACCGATTGGGAAGTTTTCTATATAAAGGGAGCAAGTAGCTACAAGTAGGACAGTGGGGCTTTAATGCCTCGTACGATCCAAGAGGCGGTTACGCTTATAATGGTGTTGTTTCGTTTGAATTAGTGACGAAGTATGTCTTTATCAATATGGTCGTACAAGAATAAGAATTGTTTGCTTTGCCATGTAAACGGACAGTTCCATGACGTACATTGCTTGAAAGGTAAAGCAACACAAGGAAACGGCACGACTTATTTGTTTAAAAAGATTTTATTGCAACGTCACTATAAGTAGCCTATAATTCTGTGCACTTGTTTTATGAGGAGGAGCGAAAAAGAGAAGGAGAGAGAGATATAGATAAAGAGAGATGGGAGAATAGGTAAAGAAAGAGAGAGAGAGAGAGATGGGATGGAGAGGGAGATAGAGAAGAGAGAGAGGAAGGAGAGAGAGAGAGGAAGGAGAGAGAGAGAGAGCTAGAAAGAAGGGTGGAGATAGCGAGATATAGAGAGAGGGATATATATATATGTATGTATGTAGAGATATAGTGAAAGAGAGTAATTGTAAGTTGGCTAATATTCTGATTTGAATGTAAAAAAAAATCATTTTCTTAACTTCTTGATAAAGTAAGGAGAAATGTTACGTCCAGTCAGTGAAACTAATCATTTAAAATGTTCTGCCGCTATATTACACACTGTAAAGATTTCGAGCATTTCAGTTAATCTAATTAGATCAAGAAACTGCCTCATGATCTATTTAGTAGGGACTTGTACAGCAGATAAGTAACTTAGATTTAAGGTTTGAATCAAATATATCTGTAAAGCGTTTAGGCACATCGTCAGATCGATGTATTGAGCGCTATATAAACACGGAATGTTATTATTATTATTATTATTATTATTATTGAAATAGAGAAATATTTACCTAAAACAAATTAATAAATCAAATGCGTTCCGCAGTCGCTCAGCAGCGTGATACATCGCGTCGTGTATTCATACACATGTACGTAATGGGCGATGTATAGGGGTGTAATGATCTTTGACTTTGTTGTTCATTGTACATTATTTTAGTCTCATTTTAACATTTTGTTTAGAATGAATAGTTAGGTTTTGATATTGGCAAAAGGACTTTAATTTTTGTCGTATTTCAGTGCTATTTTTTACCATTAAGTTTTGCGTTAACAAAAGAATATCATCATATGACAAGTAGAGTTGATCTTTCTATTTGTTTCAAAATCATGATATGAAATGGGGTACCTGGGGCAGTTACTAACAGAAATCACGTGTATGTAGATTAAAACAATTTGAAATAGCGGAGACTTGCTGTTCAAATGTTACTTATTAAGCAAAAAAAATTACTCATACTTGCTGGTTGAAACTTCTGTCTGATGCTTAGCTAGAAACGGTGCCATTATCCGAAGATAAACTAAGCATATAGCTGTTGAAGGCTTTGTTGTAAATACCATGGCAGATGAAACCAAATATACACCAATTGTCAGAAAACCAATTATCTCATTATATCGTCTTCCAGTGCGCATTACAGACCTCGCATATTTTCAATGTTATACGATACTAGCGGACTGTTATGCCGAGGAGGATATCCTCCTTGGTTATGCCTTCCTAACAAATGTAGTTATATTACATTGTTCCCTGCTAAGAAACGGCCTGGTTTACTAGGTCTTTTTAAAGTCGCTCTTTAAAAATTTAGAATTTATAATTAGATACACTTTCTTGCTTAGACACTGTTAAATCAGGGAGGTGAAAGAACAGGAGGCGAAACTCTTGTAATTTATTCAAACGCATTCTTGAGTTCTAAAGCGTAACAATGGGATGTGTAACATTCCACTTGGCTTTGAAGTTCCATGCTCCGAACCGCGCTTCCACTGCGGGGAATTTCGGAAGACAGGCACCAGTTTTACATTTATTACAAAATATTAAATTACCGGCAAAATTACAGTGTAAATTAAAAACTTTATATGGGAATTTTATTGGGAATAGTGCTTCAAACAAATTTTCAAATTAAGAACTCCGTCCTGCCTTTAAATTGTGTGCCAGAGTTGGTAAAAGAAAAATTACATCCTGTCAAAAACTCAATATTTTAGGATGATGCGCTAATTTGTGCATGCTTTAATGTCCCGTTATTTGATCCATGATTTACAATCTTCAATAACATTAAGTTTGCTAATGCGTGTTTTCGCGTGTTTTTTGTATTTTTCAAGTTTAAAAAAGAATGATATTACACAAGTTTGTGTTCGCTTGTTCTACTCTTTACACATTCAACAATGGATGAGAAATCATTGGAAGGGACAGCGAACAGTTGCTGTGATACCATTTTCTGATGTAGGAATTCTAAATCCTAAAATTTCATGCGCTCTTTTATTTCACCACCTGGTCAACAGCTGCAGATTAGCGCATAACTTTCCGGCGGCTTGGAGCATGGGGTCAAAGGAGAACGGCTTGATTCAAGTCCTTCTCTATCACGTCCCTGGTTAAATGTACCGCTTAAAAAAAGTGCCTGATTAATGTGCTTAGTTCATGTGGCTGAAACAACATTTGGAACAAAACTCTTTTTCAACTGAGGTTGTAACGTGAGACAAATGCAACGTCTTATTTACAAATACAAAATATAAATAATTCCAATAACCTCCAAATTCTTCATTCATGTTTAAATACAGAGTATAGAGTTTTATGTGTAGTGGTTCTAAAATGTAATTTCCATAAGGATTAACTCCTTTTTGTTGATTTGCAAGATAAAAACGAATGACTAGTTTCAGAGAGTTGCCATGTATGTGCATGACAATAGACTTCTATCAGCTACGTATTCGTTTATATGTCTACACTACGTTCGAATTGTCTACACTATTGTGCTGTCATCAGGTATAAATGTCATAATACATCGTAATATACACACCTGCGATCTAGCAAAGTCTTGTGGGGCTTTCCAATTCAGTCCGAAGTCTTCCCTTTTAACAGGTATACGCCGACAGCACGACCTCTGTTCCGCCATTTTTTGTTTCAGAAACATAAACTGAGCGGAGCTTGATTCAATAGTCTTTAGCACTTGAAATTCTTGCTTCGCGGGATTAAAAAAAAGTAATACCAATACAATGCTGTTAGCAAAAGGGTATCGTGGGCGTGTCATGTACGTCAGAGACAAACATCCACAAAGACTACATGGCATTGCTCAGTTGAAGACGGTGGAGAGAAAAGAGAGAAATACCCTGCATATACTAACATACTTATGATAGACATGAATTGTTAGCAGCAAACATAAATGTACGAAAGGTTCTAATTAAGTCCTGACATTGTTCTTTTACGACACTTTCTTGGGGACGTGCAAGCTGATGCTAATATTTCTAAGGCCATTCTTGAAATTCCTTAAGGAAAGGAATGAACTTTAGACCCTATAAACGGGGTGAATATTTGAACATCTATCCTTCTATAATACAAAAACATTCTCCAGTATACATGTTCATTGGTTTGAAAAAGCGTCCTTTTATCTAGATCCAATTTGCTTTGAATAATAAAACTTTGTTCAACAGCTAAAATATACACGAATTAATTGTTTTAAAGGTACTATGTCCTAATTGCAGCCCCCCCCCAAAGGTTAATTTCCACAGGCATTTAAAAGATAATATATATTTAAAACTTCCCTCAAGACGAAAGGGCTTGAAAATGTCTTTTAATGGACAAAATAACGAGCATTTTGCTATCGAATCGACTTTAGTGGTTGCAATCATTTTTAGTAATAGTCTGAATTTCAGACCCTTGCACCGAATGGTCGTACGTTTTGTGCAGCGCAAAAATTTAATCAGTTTAATTTTGGCCACTACAAGAAGTGAATTATTGATGTTGACAAACGCTCATGTACCTTTACAGCTCATTTTATGTATATTGTTACCAAAGACAAAAAAGTCAGTCACTCAGCAGTGTCTGACAGCGAAGTCTAGAAAGTAAACGGGGTATTTTGCACAATTTGAATAAGAGGACACTTCTAACGTTTACATTTCACAGATGGACATACGTGGCATATTCATAATTTCGGCAAATTTCTACAGAATGTGGTGTTTGTTGCAAATGGGACATAGTACCTTTAAGACCTAGATTCGGTAAATCTCCATTCGATCTTTTGGAGGAACGTGATTAAAAAGAATTTCAGATGTGTGTGTTTGTGTTATATAGTAATGACATAGTTCAAATTTAGTCATTAAACTGATAAAGGCTCTTGCGTCTCACACAAGATGTGCTATAGGTTCGAAGAGTGCAATTGCCAGGAACCCTTTTACACCTAGATGGAGAGTGGCAAATATGGATTTATTTGCCAAAGGACGTTATTTCCGGGCTGGGATTCGAACCACCATCCCTTGGAATGAGGGTAATGTGAATAAACCACTATACCGCAACACTTTTCAGTATCATCACAGTACATGAACCTAGCGTTCGCAGTACCTGCCCCAACATACCTAATAATTAGATCGATGAAAACAAAAAAAGGTAAGACAAATATCGACTTATTTTATACTATAAATATACTGACCGACCCGTGACCAAGTTTGCGAAATATGAGGGTAAAAATTAATTAGAATTGGCAATAAAATCAATTGACAGGAGATATAGTCTCCCTCAATATATTTCTTTATAAACATGCTCAATTTTTCGATTATCGTGTATTTGGTGCCAAAAGGGCGAAAACTAGTACACAACGTTAACGCTATGTTGGCTTTGAATAGACGGCAAAAAGTTAAATGAATTGTTAACCATCTGAATCATTTTAATTTCAGTTTAAGTGGTTGATGGCGATTTCTTTGATATTAGGTACACTAAATGCGGGTATCAGTTAGAAAATTTTTCAAACTACATCAGATACGTCATGGTTTGCATTAATTCACCCAGTCATGATACGTTGTATTCATTTTGATTTTTCACTTCTAAATGACAAATTAATGTGAAAGTAAAACAACTTTTTATATCATGCGAATAGTTCGAGAGCTTCAGATTAAAAAAAACGTCTGTTTCGGTTTTCTTAAAGTTCGTAAAAGGATCACTTCTCATATATACAATCGTGCGAGTTGCTATCGAATCACTGGATAGTTTCATTAGAAGGTTAACTGAAAGTCTTTAATGATAAACTCGTTGTACAAGAATAGCAATGAAAAACCTTTAAATCGGGACGGCACTACTTGTATAGCTACTTGCTCCCTCCATTCAGCCGACACTGCCTAAGCGTTATCCGTTGATCCCCCTTGGTCCCTTTTTTCCTACGTTAATTGATAGCTGATTTGATGAGATAGCCACCTTCCAGTGATACTGGAGGGAGGTCTGATCCCTCCTGGCTAAACTAGTGCAGATAGGCTTTAAATGAGCATTTATTAATGAAACTCAAGTTGTTTGAAACTACAGTCATGTACATTGTCACGCTGTAAAAAGAGGCAAGTCAAAGTTAAGAGTAAATTAATATGAATATCAAAGGCATCGGTGGTGTTAATAAAGGCCCAATTTTTACAGTAAATCAGAATGTTAATTTTGGGTTCTGGAATGGCGTCACAGACCATAATCGGCATGTATCTTCTTGTCGCCCTTATTGCCGACAACGCAGCGGGTGTTTCCATTGTTGACGACATTTAATGAACGAGGCACGGGGTCAACTTCAACTCCACCAGACGAGATCCTGAAATGATGTACGTTAGGAGCAAGATGACGAACTCGGTTAGTTGTCATTTAAATCATTTTATATGTGACCATAATGTATGAAGAAAATTAGTTGACCGAGTGGTCGGGTGTACATGGAGAACAATATCGGGCCAACAACAGATCCTTGGGTGACACATTTCTCAGTGTAACACAAGAATATCTAAAATATATATTTCGGGAAGCAATATTCCTTAGCCTCCCTTAAGCCGATTAGCGTAATACACCATTATTTGATATTAGCCTGTATTTGTTTCTTGTTTTCGGCGACAGGAGTTCCTAAAAGAGACAGTAAATGAGTCATATCTCCGAGAAGAGCCAGGATCCTACCATACATACTCTAATGACCATACGTAGGCCTATCCTCCGACATGGCAGTTTGAAAGCTGCAATAATTATCTTAAAAGTAACCAACCTTATTTTCTCTGAAACAAGTCAGATGACGCAAAATATTTGTTCTCTCAACCAATAGCAGTATAGTGTCACCTTTAAGTGAGGTTAATTTTCGCTTTTGATCCAGAATGCTCTGCATTGCAAATTGTAAATGAGCAGAAAATGAACAAAAAGAAATCACTGGGTAATTTTAGTCCTTTTCTGTTCCAGTATAATGTGCCGTTCATGTATACCAGTGATTTAATAGAAAAAGAGTATTCAGGTCTCTATAAATGGCAACGCAAGGTGAAACTTATCTTTTATTTTTAAATATGAAAGAGTGGAAAATACAAATAATTATTGCATTAAGAAGGAAAACCTGATTCATTTAGATCTGTACATATCTCTGAACTGCTATGGTTTCATCGAAATCACCGTACAGTATTTTTTTTATAAAAAAGGACACACTTGTAGCCTTGAAAATGGTATATGGACAAGCTATTATATACGACGGACTAGGATAGACTTCCACTTGCTCGAAAATCCAGGCGTCAAACTGTGTCATTGACCGCTACGTCACAGCAATTGGGCAATATAGCAAAATATTGTCTGAGCAATGGATTTGTTTTCGCGCAAAAAACAGGATGTTAAAATTGCAGATAAAAAGTGGCAAAGTAAACATTGTATCGGCACAATAATACACGGGTATTACAAAGATTATTTCATCTGTAAAACAAATCTCCACACAATAACCTCTCTAATTTATTGGAAAATATTCATATTTCTTATCTTATATGTAATATGTTTCGTACATGTTTATCGTATGATATAATTGTCATGATTTTCTATTTGATTACTTTTGTACAAAAATTATAAATTGTATTTGCTATTGTTTGAATTGTTGTATTTTGAACTAGAATTTATATATTTGTGAACGCAGAAAAAATATCAAACAAACAAAAACAAACAAGTCATATGTTCAGATTCAATTATGGCAAAATTGATAGCTTTTTTTAAATATAACACAGAATGCGGTTCACGCGAACTACTTTTAGTGAGCAAATCAGTATTAAACAAATAGTTTAATGCATCATGGATACGAACACGATTTCCTGCCTTTCAATGTCAAAGCTGTGAACCTTGATTGCAATTCCATATTTAACTGGAAGTACTGGGTCAGTGTTAAATATTAAAAAAAAAAAAGATCTGTTGACCTACGATCGTATACCTCAGTCACACCACCAAACCGACTTCAGCCCGATTCCAAACCATTTTTTTTTTTTGCCATAGGGATAATGTAATTTATTTGGAAGGCCTGTTATCGGTCCCGGTGTCGGCCTCGTCGGTGTGACTCGGGTATAACCTTCTATGATCAATGGCCAAATACCAGTCGGTTTGGAATCACACACACGCATACACACACGCACACACGCGCACACTCATAAGAGCAAATAAAGGTGATCGAGTGTGACACGTATTTTCATCTTTAAAAGCAATAACATTAAGAGTGCGCACAGGTCACGAATATACTCTAGATAGAACCGAAGATCAATCTAGGAGCTTGATCAGAGGCGAGTTCTGTGACGATTTAACACAGTCTAACAATAATTCTATCTATCGTCCACCTTTGCTTTGGACGATGTTCATTCTAGTTGTTTCCGCCATTGTCCTGGGGTGCAATCTTGCCCCCTTCTACGCAAGCGCTCAGGCTCCTATTCCAGAGAGTCCCCCTGGATTCGTTTACAAGTCCACCTCTCCTGATGTCCCCATCCTGCTAGAGGCCTGGGTCGATTTGATCTGTCCAGATGCTAAAGGGGCATGGCTGACGTACCAGGAGGTGGCTGACCATTATGGGACCGATACAGTGAGGTTTTCAGCGCTCATGTTCCCTCTTCCCTATGATAGGGCTGCCATGAAGGCATCGCAGGTGAGTGTAGATTCGACAAACTTCAAGGGGTTTACAACCTGATCGTTAGGTGGTTTAAAAGTGAAAGAGACAGAGAGAGTGAGAGAGAGAGAGAGAGAGAGAGAGAGAGAGAGGATAAGAGAGAGAGAGAGAGAGAGAGAGACTGAGAGAGAGGCAGAGACTGAGTCAGTTTGGTAAAAAAAAACAGGAGACTTCAAGATTGATTAAAAACATATGCTCGCAGCCGGATGGATGAATCTTCATAATGTTTTACAGATAATAATTACAAAACTTAACAATTACCAACAGCACAATTGCAGTGAATATATAAAGGATCAAGAAATACAAAAGAATACATTAATTCATGTAATTTCTATTTCGTGGAATTGAAAATATGGTTAGGGCAACTTACACATACTACAAAATGATTAATATTGGGCTTTGAGTAGTTTCAAAGAGTGACATTTTTTCATAGAAGAAACATTTAAGAAAATTTAAGAAAATTGATCTAAGAAAGAATATAACCTTATTTTACGAATTTCGTAAAATAATTCACTTTCAAAGTGAATATTAAAACAAAAAAAGATGACATCACATTAAAAAATAATGAAACTTTGACTAAAATCAGATATTATGAATTTGACTAGCTGTTGGATTCGACCGTCATTGTTGGTCAAACAGTTTTGGGGCGTCATGTAACGCCTGGCTGGAATGCTCCCCAGGGAGTGGAGATTGTGCACACATTGTGTGCGGGCAAGCACTTAATCCAATGACCGGGGTAATGGTATATTTGTAAAGCGCTTAGAAACATTTGTATTAAGCGCTATATAAACATTAAATCTTATTATTTATTTATTATATACGATTGATTATATACTTATTGATCGGATATGGAAAGCTTACTAGGTGACCTGTTTTTTATTTTAACCGCAGTGAATTAAGCTCAGACTAAAGATATTTGTTATTGTATTGTATTGGTTCATCGAGAAGAAAAAAACCTTCGAACATGCAGCTAAAAGCTGTTGTTGTTCAATTCACAGAGTAAAAAGTACATGCATTAAAAATACATTGATAACACATTAAAGGATATTGAAAACTAAAGAAGCATTTACTTACATGTGATTCACGATACAAAATTGCCATTTGTTTTTTTAATAGTAAAACTGAAGTTTGAAAATTAAAGATTTACAGGGTTATTGCAACAATGACGAAGAAAGAAGCCCAAGAAGAAAAATAGAGATTGTGATTTCTTTACAATCACAACAACACAAATAAATAAGGACAAGGTTGCTCGAAAATAGGAATGGATCAGGAACTTTTAAAGACTTCGTATCTCATCTGGAATTGAATGCTAAATGCAATTTTAAGTTTTACAGTGATATACATTGATAGAATATCAATGGCCTGTCATTAATATAACTAGTAACGAATTGTAATTCAACATTTAGCTCCGTAGATATTCCTAAGAAATGTTGAAGGGTTATGAATACTTGATTAGCAAATATTTATGTAGAAAAAATGGGAATCTCATTCCAAAATGTATTTGCACTAAACTGCGGGTAAACAAAATTTGACAGAGTTGGGATAATGACAATTTTAACGAGCACAAGCTGTATTTTTATCTATGAAGGACGTCAATGTTCAATAATCGGAAGATCACCTTGTCAGTGTTTTGGAGTTGATGACGAGATGACCTTGCAGCTGGGAGCCAATTGTTGTACAACTGAGAGGACAGTTTCCTGCACAGTTAATCTATGCAATCCTTTTGAGAAACTAACCTGCACATGCTTAAAGCTTCATCGTACAATTCATACTAAACACATATAATCATAAATTCAAAGAAGCAGATCTGCGTGGAAAAAAGAAGAAGAAAGTTAGAATTCAGTACGGATTTTTTTTTGAATGTTTATAGTTTAACTAATCAAACACAAATCGGCAAGTCTGTGACACTTTTGACGTATTTCCCCGATTCGTTCTATACTTTAAATGGCATACATTTCCATTCGCTTTGTTATTGATGACGAAGGAATATATATATATTTCATACAGGAGTTACATAATTATCTAGGGTGAAGGGCGTGTTTTATTATCATATTATTATTATGATTATTATAAAATTATCTTTTGAGAAAAGAAAGAAAAGAAAATGAATGATATAGAGAGGGAAATTCATAATTACGTTTAAAATAAAATGACGCACATTCCTCTACACCTCGGTCGCCCTCAAATTTAATTTGCTAAGATATCAGTGCCTCCTTATCAGAGGTTAACAGCACTGTGCGCCAGCATGGAAACCCTTTATCCCAGACTTGTTTCTTATCATTACGTACCAATTTAAGAGCACTTGCATTAATTTCTCTCTGATTTATATTTCCTTATAATGTGAAAACTATTCTTTATGGAAAGTAGGCTATAACGGGAGAATCTCTTTTTTAGGACTTTCATGCATAAGGACCTTTATTTTTCCCTTTCAATATGGGGGAATGAACGTACCCCGTTTCCCCCCGACATACGCCATGCACGTTTACTCCCAAAACATTGTTATGGAAGTTAAGACTCTTATTCTATCTTATCTTCCATCTTTTAATTAAAAAAATAAGGTTGCATATCACGTGACATCAGTAAGAATGTTGTACATATTCTTTTAAAGTTATTTCTCCTTACTCCGGACAAAAAAGTGTTTTTATTTATTTTCTAAAGATAAAAGATGAGTTCCATTTTGTATCAATTGCAGCTAGCAGGTAAACTCAAAGCATCATGATTTGTTTACATGATTTGATTTCTTTCGAAATGATTTTCTACAACTTGGTAATGCTAAAAAGGAAATCCCTTTCAATATTTAATATCAATTGTGTGTCTCGTTGTAGGGATCGTTCGTCGCCAGAGACATGAACCCCGCCTTGGTTTACGCGTGGTTTAATAATGTCTTCGACAAACAAGCCGCACTTTATGACAATGCTATCTACGACAAAACAACTGAATTCATTGATGAGTAAGTATCCCTGACCAGGGTTTGGATTTTTTCTCCAGTTGTTGAGATATTGTGGTCTAGCGGATAAGTCACAGGACTGTGAAGCACAAGGTACGGGGTTCAAATCCCTGGCACAGCGCTACTGTCCTTTGGTTAAAAGTAGTTTTAGTAATAATAGGGATAACAATGAAGATTTCTAGCATTATTATTATTATTAGAGGGAAGGCATATGGGATGTCATATTTTATTCAAATTAATCAAGGTTTTTACTAATTGACGGGCCTTAGTTATATGTGTCTATTCATGTCATGGTTACTTACAATTGAGATTGATTTGCCTATCTTCATGCGAGTACAATTGTTGTATAGGACATTCACCCGCTCTACTGAAGAATAAATAATTGCGACAAACTCCTATCTAATAACAATGGCAGATAATAAGTGTACAGGAGATGCAATTGTTGTGATTAATGTGAAGGAATATAACATAGGGGAGGGGGTGAGATTGATGAAGTCAAAATTGTGATTTCCTCAGTTGGAATGTTATAGTATATTCAATTATCATGTCATTGTTGATTGTCTTTTAACAATATGGACGTATGCAGAGTATTCTTAAAGTTTTGCTTATAAAAGAATCGTCGGGGGAAATATACAGTTATCACTTGGTTTTATCATTTAACAAGGGAGATGCTCCCATCTCCCTGATTTAACGAGGGAGCGCTGTTGGAGCATTGAGGAGCATATTGGTATATATTGGTGGTGGGTCCTGAGATTCATACCAGAGGTCCTAGGTTCGATTCTTTTTCGGTGCTTATCTCAATCCAGGCGAATCAAATGGTTACCTGGTCATGATGGAGGTAAGAAAAATAGCGGCTTTGATGCCGATGTTAATAGGCGTACCATAAGCCCAATCTATAATTATCATATTGTCTGTTAATTACTTATCTCCTGTTAGAACTCTGGCAACTTGGGCATCTGAGGTTGGTTACGACAAAGATCAATTTCAGACCCGTTTGAACAGATCCGACCCCGCTCATTCACAAGCCAGAGTCGAGTTCAAATATGGAGCTACACGTAAGTACATTGCAAAAAAAAATTGTTTTGCTTGTCAGAAAATTATTGTTCCTCCTATTTTTCAAAATCCCAGATATCTTACTTTCTCTTTTCTGTAGAATTTAGATCCCCGTTTTACGATCCCCTGGCCTTATTTGGCCCAGTCACCAAATCCATCCGGGTTTTTAACGAAAAAATAGGCATCACCAAAAATGGGACGAGGCATACCCGACTTTTTACACGACCTGTTTGTGGCCCGTTTGCGGCCTACCCCTTTCATGTTATTTGATAATTTGTCATCTGTTAATGAGCTCAATACCTAATATTTTACTACTAAATGTGCCATACTGTAACTGATGTGAATAATAATAGTGAGTTACGTCAATAAACATCAATAAACATCAACCAATTATAAAAATACTTTTGGTACTCTTTACGAAATGACGAACAGACCGTCACACTGGACAAAAGTGTTCAACTGTAAACTTTATTTGTGGCATCAATTTCATTGATATTGGAAGATATCTTGGTAGAATTATAAATCACCCCTCCCTTCAATGTTATATTACGTAAAGATCTTTGTCATTTCATTGATTGGTAGGTGGAGTATTCGGGACGCCTCAGACCTATGTCAATGGTGCCGTGGTCTATTCTGATTCTTCCTGGACGCTAGCGGACTGGAGGAACATCATAGATCCACTGATCTCAGGAAACAGGTTAGTAGTTATATGGCGAAGGCAACACTCAATGCCATAAAGATTAACACCAAGAGCGATCTTAGTGATATCATTAATGACCAAAATACAGTGGCGGATCCGGGGAATAGTAACCTCTCGTCGACGGCTCTGGCGCTGTTGGAGTCCGTAGTCGACATAGAGGCGAAAATTCCGGTGAGCCAGAATCCTAGGCCTTCTGGCTCGTGTCGTTCGCCAAAACTTTCGCCCCGATGTCGACTAAGGACTCTAGCAGCGCCAGGGCCATCGACAATAGGCTAATGGAATAGAAGCACGTGGCTCTTCTTTAGAGCTTTAAAGCCTATTTGCACTATTTTGACCAGGAGGAAGTAGTACTCTCCGCATGGTCACCGACAGGGGGTTATCTTGTGGAATCAGCTCTCAATTAACCTAAGAAAAAGGGGATCATGGGGAACCATCGGGTACCGCTTAGGCATTGTTTGTTGTATAGAGGGCGCAAGTAGCTACAAGTATCAGTCCCGCTTAAAAAGAGGGTAAAAGAAGAATGAAATAAAGAAAGAAAGAAAACAAAACGTATAGGCTGATGACACCTTTCTATTGGAGAACTTTTTAGCAAAAAAACTGATGATGATGATTTTGTTCGGGAGTGGGTGGCGGGGGGGGGGGGGAGGGGGTTGTCACAGAATCTTAGGACTTGTGCCCCATTATTTCCCAGAGAATCCTTGATTTGCCACTTTCATGGATCAATCCATTTCAGATCGATCTTTCTTTATCGAAGACAGGGTTTACAAGAGAGCAAGTATCATCCACCCTCAATTTAAACCTCGAACCCCAACGATCCATTGAAGGTCTGATTTCTGTGTAAATCGCCTTCGATCATTTGTCATGTTTACATTTTCTTGATATATCCGATTACTGACGATTGGGGTAAGTGCTTCGTGTGGCCAAAGTGTGGAAAATTACAGATATCTGATTAATTAAAACTGTTATAAATGAAGTTTGATCTTCATGAAATTCAATGTTTCCATAATAACAGTTCTAGTACCAATCGGGGGGTCCGATTGCGTAACTTTGCAAATCACGTTAATATCCGTGCCTATTTATAAACGGGATTTCAATTTGTTCGGGTCTTTTTAAATCCCATGAATATTTTAACACGTTAAAACAAAAAAATTATGATTCATGTATAGAATGTCCGATAACCATCTTAGTGATATTCACTCATGCCCTGTTGTACGCAGGTGCTGCGGAGGTCTTTCCAGTATTGTAGTCAAGTCCGAAGAACCAAGCCCAAGTCCAGACAGTCCGAGTCCAAGTTAAAATCCTTAAAAATGGACTCGAGTCCAACTCCAAGTCCAAGCACTACAACACTGGATCTTTTATAGGGCCAATCGGAACAAAGTGCCTGTCAAGGAAGATGATATTTGTCATTACTCGGATGACATCGCTAATCAAAATTTTCTTATTATCTTCGATTCCCTTCAACATAAATGAATTAATACAAACGTTTATGAGTGGAAAATGCTTTTTCAAATCTTTAATCCAGGGTCCGACGTCGTACTGGCTTCTAGCTTGAGCTTGTCCATGGGCTAGGGTGTCAGACAGATAGCTAAGGTAGGGCGTAGATCTGGTCATTAAACTATTTATTCAGATTGCAGCATCATGAACATAAAAGCAAAGGAAAACTGATTAGTGCTTAATATATGCAACTCGATTTTGGGGCAAGTTTTAAGGAGCACGCTCAAAAATGAATAGGCCTCTGGATGATAAAAATATCATAGTTTAAAGGTTGCAAAGTTTTTACGCTGCTAGAGCAAGTCAAATAGCAACACGAAAGTTTGGGTTAGAATATAAAACACGTTCCATTTCCTGAAATTCAGATAAGACGCAATGTATTATAAAAGGGAATGGATACATTAAACAAAATTAATGGCATTGAAGATATTCTGAGTTTGGAAACTAAACTAATGAGAAAGGGTCATCCATTGTGGAAAGGCATTTATCTACATTTGCCACTCTCAACCCAAGTTTAAAATTGGTACCGGTAGGAAGGAATTCCGTGACTGCTCTGCTGCACCGAAATTGATAGCCTAGCTAGCAGAGCCATGGAAATGTTAAAGCGCCTTGAGCACCTTACGTGGTGGATATTTGCGCTTTAAAATATCCAATACTATTACTAATATTATTATTTGATCGACCACCGATGGGGCTGATGGCCTATGAGACCGAAATTCTGTTAGACCGACACTAGGCACGTGCCACGAGCAAATATACTGCAATATAAGGGCAATTTTCTTCGGAATAAACATTGCAGTACCGCCCTATATAAAAGAACTATTTCCCCCATCCCTCTGATGTTGTGCAAAAATAACTTCATCATGAATAGAGTATTGTTATTACAAAACATTACGTTCATATGATATCTTAATTATTATGATATCCTCGAATTTTTGTTTCGTATTTTTCCCTTTTTTTTCTTCTTCAGGGTTTACTCTCTTTCTGGCAGCATGATTCCTGTTTGGCTGAGTGTGACCCTAGCATTTGTACTCCGGAAGTAAATCAAGATCAAGACCAGAGGTCTACTCTATGTGATGAAATTAAAGTATTTTAATACTTATGCATTTTGCGTTCCGAGCCTTTCATTTCTGTGTCAATACAAAGTTAGTTTTTTACTAGGTTAGTGTCAGATGTTTGTCAATGTTCTAGACAACCTGTTCAAAAGAAAATAGGATCATATGAATTATAAACAATCATAAACATCATCCCCCTTGAAAAAATCCTGCGTACGCCACTGGGCGTCACATGCGGACCCACGAGCTTATACCCAAGTCAGCCATACATAACTTTGGACAACCGAGCAAAGGCAAATACTTGGAAAAGGGGCGAGTAGTGCAAAGTGAATATACATGTAGAGCTCTCAAATGGCAAACATCATTATTATGAATTAAATATAACCACATCAATTTTAAAAGATATATATTAACAGCAGGTTGGATTTGGAAGACGTTTCTGTATGCCTTTATTTACACACTGCCACGCACTAAACGACGAGGGCACTATATTGCCAAGTTTTCCAAAATTATTAATGGCTGACAAACAAAACAAAGGAATATATTACACACTCAGTAATCAAATTTGGAGTCGGTCTTGAGTCGGTTTGGCGGTGGGCCTGAGGCATGTTACCATCGTCACACCGCCACACCAACTCCACACCGGCAACCCACCAACTCCGAACCGACCTGATCTCGATCTTTGGGTATTGGTTCTTGATCATTTTGTTATCGGCCTGGTGTCGGTCCTAATGGTGTGATTAAGGTATTAAATTCACACAACAACAGGTCAAGCCATATAAAATCACCTTTTCTTATGTTTTTGTGCATATGTAGTTACTAAATTTAACGTGTTTGGTTCTTCTCTATACTAAGTATTTTTGTATATACGTGTTTTTCAGTAATGAAAGTTGATAATGACATGCCTAAAGCTATGGTCACAAATCAGAGCAGCGACCGACCGATTAGTAGCCTGCTCGGTCGCCGCTGGAATTAAGGCATTGCCCAGCGACTTTTTTTTGGTTGAAAAGTCGAGCAGGCTGTAGAGCCCCCAGCGATGCCTGAGCGGTGCCCTGTCAATTTCCCATCGGTCGCCGGTCAATTTTAGGTCAAAACTGGGCGAAATCGGAGAGCTTTTCCGGGCGGCGTCCCGGCAGCGATTTTTTACCTAAATCACTCGACGGCGAACGCTCGATTAGGTCGGTGCCCGGACGGCGACCGCTCGGGCACCGAGCATACTTTGGGCGGCGAGTAAAAGTGAGCAGGCACCGCCCGAATTTTAGCTCCGCGCTAAAACTTCAGCAGCGATGCCCTAAAAACAAGCGGTGCCCGGGCGGCCGCCGCTCGGTGCCTGGGCGAAATTGGATTAAAACTCGCCGCCCGGCCGCCAAGCAGGCTAATTTTAGGTGACGTGAGCATAGCTTTATAAGTGTAAACATTAAGGTACATGTACAATAGACCGGTGTACTAACATATTCGAATTGTATGCATACTTAAAAAAAAGGATATTCTGGACCACCTGAATATTGCACGAGGCTTGCCCATTTATAGCAACACATAATGCATGCAGACTAGATTATAGGTATTGTAGTTCATTCATTAACACCAGGTTAATGGAACACCTTATCATTAGGTTCCCAGGAAAGAAATGTATGAACTGAAACCGTTAGTAAACCGGTCTATTGGAGTGCAGCTAATATGGGTTCGACAACATGGCTTCTTTTGGAGACAGTAACAGTTAGAGTTACGCGTGTGAGCGTGTGTGCGTGTGTGTGTGTGTGTGTGTGTGAGTGGGTGTGTGCCTGGGTGTTTGTTTGTACGTGTGATATGTGTGTGTATGTGTGTGCGTGGGTCTTCGTACGTGCGCGTGAGGAAGAGGGGGATGTCAAATTTGGGGAACTTACATCTAAAGACAAACACACAAAACGTCTGCATCGTGTCCTTTTCTCTCTCTCTCTCTCTCTCTCTCTTTTTTTTTTGTGGGGGGGGGGGGGTCGTGGAAGCATACGCCTTCGTAACAAATAATGACGGAGATACGACAAAACGAAAGGCAGGACAATAAATACAATAATAGACAACGTCATTATTATCAAGGATTGGATATAGTGAGGTGAGTCGGCTAAGTCAATAAAGCGTCTGCCTGTCGAACCAAATATCTCGGGTTCGAATCCTACCCGGCGGATGACTGAAGCCAAAAGGCAGGACAATTACATTGATTAAACCTGTATGTTAAAAACCCACAATCTTCTACAAAGATCGAATTTCAGTTAACCATATGGAATTTTCTCCAGTAACCACATAGAAAGGAATATATATATAGGATTTATTGAAATCAAATTAAATCACATCAAAAACCCAAAACAAACAGTCCGGGGACTGGCACCTGTCTTGGGTACAATATAACATTTAAATCAAGTATACATAATAAAATGGCAGTAACGAATATATAAATAAGTTACATAAGTTAAAATATCAAATAACTTTCATCACTGAATATTTCAAAAAGGGCATATAAACAATAACAACAATAGGTATACATCATTCCACTTACATTAATAGAGGATTCTCGAGCTGTGCAATAACTAAATTAGGCACAGACCAAGATTCAAATAAAAAATGCAAATAAATAAGTAAATCAAAATTCACAATTTCACAAGTATAAGACTACATCGAGGGGTCAGTGAAACAAAGACGTAACAACATTTTGGCCATTTTGAGAAAAAGTGGTTTATGTGTCACTGAGCACTTGGGCCTTAAGGAGTTAAGTCTATGTTTCACTAGCCATTGACTTCAATGGGGTGTTGGGTGAAGTTAAGTTGTTGTGTTTCCTGGACAACCCACATTTTGATATCAAATACAATCCGGGGGGGGGGGGTATTCAGATTTGGTATTAAAGGGAGTGTGCCGCTGAAGCCTCGAAACCCCAACCCGTTTTTAAAAGTCATTTTGGCGTATTTTGTCTAAAGTAAAACCAATTTTAAAAAAGTGAACCCATAGTTAGGGGTATTTTTGTGTACAATGGGACCCATGTTTAGGGATTTTTGTGAAAAAAATTACCTCTTTATTAACGGTAAAGGAGAGGGGAAGACAACGTCAAGTTAAAGTTAAAGTGCCTTGCGCAACCCACTCGGGAATCGTGCATAAACATGAGCTAGCCGTCCCCAACACCCAAACCACCCGCCATCCGATCCGGAATCCCTGCACTAGGTGAAGACCACGAACCCAACGAACTATTAGGGACTTTTAGATTCGCACGAAGACAATAGGTCTATGCTACGATCGACGTATCACGTATCACACGTATCAGTCCACGCAAATCTAAAAGTCCCTAATGACGGTGCAGGGGACGACGAACAACAAGGACCGCAGTTTTCTCCCGGGCAGGTAGCTCGAGAATAAAATATAAGAGAGAGGTGGGCCCTAGAGGGATTCCAATGACAATTTCTTATTCCAAAATGTAAAAAAATACTTTAGATTTTTGCATACAATCATAATTATATTTATACAACAATAACAATCACAGTGAAGAAACCGCTCGAATATATGTCTGATAGAACACTCCATGGCGCCTTGTGGGGAAAAATATAAGATAATAAAGAAATAATTATTTAAAGATATTTTCATATTGATTATCAGTTTTACAATGCATTAATGTATAAATGCAAGAATATACAACACTTACAGCACGCCATCAATTTATGATTGTTTAGTGTAGTACTATGTACGACTAAGAGGAATATCAAACACTTTGGCGGTGCATATCTGTTTATTCTCTCGTATAAACACGTGCAAATCGGCCGATTGTTGCAATACAATCTGTCTTTAAATATGATTTTATTCGCAATCATCAAAATTAGTTACATTTTAAAATTTTTATATTCCTATTTTGCCAACTTTCCAAAGACAAGACATGTTTGGAAACGTCTGAGCGATTTGTTATTACATAAAATCTAATCGAATTCTTTTTTTACTACCTAATGACGGGATCTACTGGGAAAATGCAGTTATTTCTGTAGTCTGTTTTCTGGTCAACATCCGCTTGTTGGTAACCTTTAATTCATTAACTAGGTGGTTGTATTCAACTACATGTATTGTGCAAGTGTGCTCTGCTGTGCCAAAGGGATAGAAAACTAACTTTTCCCATGGATGAGCATCTTGTATGGGCAACCAGAACATGTCTAACTTTGTATTTACCTTTGTTTAATCCTCTTCATCCTCATACTCGCCGTCTTTTGTTGGCTTCGTCACATATTTACGTTGTAATAGCGAGGCGCACTCAACGAAGATGGAGGAAACTAATTTTTAAAAAATGAATCTTAAAATTACTACCAATTTCTCAACCTTAAACCACTTGAATGGATGTTGTCGCAGCTCAGTCACACAAACGAGACCAATAATATATCAAACCAACTACAGACCAAACAAAATTTTCAATTATATTATTCCCAATTGCCCAAAATATAAGTCGGTTTGTCAGTGTGACCAAATTCAGTGCCAGCGTGTATGACAGATATACGATTTCATAACTTTGTCTCTATTCATCAGGATACAAATTATATTTCAATTGACCCGACATTACAATTAATTAACTAGTTTTTAATACCGAGATTATTAAAGTGTCTACGACAGTCAAAGGTTATTCTACTAATTTATGAAATCCATGCCCTTTCATCTCTATTAGCTTCATGAGTCGTTCCTTTAGGTGCTCTCTGTTCTTGTACCTCGGGAGATGGAGCACGATGAAACCATGACATGTATTCACTTCAGGGCACATGTCCTTCGGAGATTTCCCCTTACAATCTTCGTCTCCTCCCATGGGCCACATCCTAGGTCTAATCTCCTGGATTCCACCAATGGGGACATGGTCAGCACCCGTCATAACTCCTAAGAACGATTCGCATAGAAGAAAAATTAATCGGTAACATGTCCATTTTTCTTATCAAGGTTCACTCAAATATCAGAAAGTCTGTTACTTTGAAGGTTCACAATTTAGAAGGTTCGTATTTCGGAAAGTGAAATAGGGCTCATAATTTCCATGATTTTAAGTGTTTCTAATTCCGAAAATGACATAAAACCCAGTATCATTTGTTAAGAATTACGACATTTAGGAGAAAGAACGTTATTTCATTCTCAGAATTATGAAGGAAAAAAAATGTTTTTCTAAATTTTAAACCTTCGGAATCATGACATAATCAAAGGTGGTGGGTGGATCGTAAGAGCATTGTGCCCTGGAAACGGAGCGAGAGAAATTATCAATTTATCATCATATTGTCACAGTGACACTATCAGTGTCTTGAAGTCAGAACAGAATTGTCTTGCCAAAATGACAAAGAGATGCCAAAATAGCACAATATTTGACTTTGAAAAGGGATTATCCATGTCATACGTTATAACAAACGATGAAGTTACCGATCTTTTTGATATTTTTTCCGTTCAGTACTGTGCTATAGGTCCGTTTATTTATATACATTTAGGCCTTTGTCGGTCAACGATCACCGGTGAAGATTTGACTTACTCAGAAAGTCTCTTTTATCATCCTCAGTGAGATCACCATGGAACACTGACCAGAACATCTCGACCACGCGATGGTTTGCTGTGTAGCCTTTCTCATAACCAAAGCTCTGTGTAAAGTAGAGCAAATCAACAGCAACAGCAACAACAACAAAAACATAATTGGTCTGTGCCACAAAATTAAACACAATTTCAAATTTATCTCTCAAGAATCATATTTAAAGTATACAGCGTGTATTAACTTTAAATTATCTTCTATTTAATCACAAGGCACCTACCAACTTTGCATTTATTATGATAGAGAAAAAACAACGACATTTTGTTTATTTTCGGCAACCAGGCTGTCCGAAGTAGATTAGTTTTCTGCATTTGTGTTTTCTTTTAGTGCATTGAATAGAGAGGATAAACAAACAAACAAAATTGAAGAAAAGAAGCTCACTCCTTGAAAGGCCTTCCAATCATATTCCCCTCCTTGGAATAATGACATCAGCTCTTGTGGTGCGAAAAGTCGGTGAAGGGTGAATCGACGGAACATGCTCCGAAAGCTCTCACTGAATACATCGAACTGAGAAGATGCTGTGTAGTGCCTGGCGTAAAGCTCAATGTACTCTAGACTAGGGTTCGTAAAATAAAAGAAATGTTTCCATTGGAGGCCAACAAGACTTCATGATTAACTACATTTTCAGGGTTCGGTTGGAAACGAGAGTAAATATAACGTGGCCTTTGTTATGCATCTCTTGTATCGTTCAGAATTACTTCCCAGGATATCATAATCAATATAGAGGATAGAAATCTCGTCATCGAGTGCTTAAATACATTCAAGATACTTTTAACGTTTACAATTAAAGCTATAAACTCCTAATTTCATGTGAAACGGTTTTCGCTACGCGTTAGTATGAAATCTATAATTAAATAATTTTAAAGCCAGTATTCAGAAAGAAATTTGCAATTAAAATCAACATTAAAGTTCCTTGCTTAATGAAGATACTTTGTCATAAACAATTCTGGGATGTTTTTTTAAATAATTACATTCCAAAACAATTTGATACACAATCAACTACTCCACGTTCTACTAAATAAAAATGTCCAATACAGAATCTTTAAACACACAACGGTATAATTTGCTCTGACTGAGTCATCATAAGCTTACACATTTGCAGTGGTCACAGCCTCGTCTTTGCCTGCTGGTTTGAGTTCGATCTCCGGTTCGTTCAGCGGTCCTTGCACCGTAAAGCTGTAGTCGGCAAGGTCATCGTCACTCATCTCTAGCAATGTTCCCATGCTCTTTGCCATCCCGGGATCTAGTAGTTTCAAATCTTCGAAACTAGATTGACTGAATATTGTTAAAATAGAGTCGTGTTATTTATCTAGTAATCTGTTGTAATAAGCTACAGTTATGGTGTAGGACAATAACCCCCTGAAAAATCATTCCCGGCTAATTACCACAGGACATTTACTCCCCAAGGACAACCACATCCCGAGGAAAATCACCCCCAGGAAAATTTTCCCCTTAGAACACTTACCCACCCCACCCCCCCCCCCCCCCCCGGGGGGGGGAATAACCCGTATGACGATAACCATCTGGAAATTACCCTCTAGGATAATCTAACCCTCTGTGTGTACACGTGTTCGTGCGTGTGTGTGTGTGTGTGTGTGTGCGAGTGCTATGTGCTTGTGTGGGTGGGCGTGTGTATGTATGTCGTGTGGTGTGTGTGTGTGTGTGGGGAGGGGGGGGGGAGTTACGCCAAAATATCTTGTCTTTTGGTAATGTCTTAGGGGGTAATTGTCTACGGGGAGGGGAGGGGTAATTGTCCTCGGTGGGTAACTTTTCGGGGGTATTTTTTCGGGGGATGACTCTAGACCCTACGAGGTGTTATTGTCCTGATACGATTCCAGATCCATTTATTCATATGCATGTAGTAATTATTTGGTGTGTTCTTCCAAGAGCTTGTAGGGTTTGACAACGAGCTGTCTCTAAAACAAACTCGGTACAACTCGTACGGAAATCGGGGAAACAAGTCGTGAAAACTCTACTGATCTCGTTGTAGTTCATAAGGACTTACAAGCGTTTTGAAATGTTCAAATTGTTCAAACATTCATCAATAAGCTCTCCAAATCAAGGATACTAATGAAAATGATAGAAAATGGCAAAAAAATGCGGGATTTTGTAACCCCTGACCCCAAAATATGAGAGGCACATAACTTCTTTGCTTTCCTTCGATTAAAATAACAATTGTTGATTGGGTGTATACCTATTTCCAAGCAGTTTCTTGTAGAACAGAAATGGAAACGGCATTGTGACGATGACCTTATTGTAGAACATCAGGGCAAACAGCTTCCCGACTGATCGCAACTTGTCCAGTTCCTTGGAATCCTATGATAACGTTTAATTCCAAAAAGAAAACAAAGGTGCTTTATCCATCATCTATACAAAAACATTCATGCGCGAAATACTAATTGATAAGGTATATTTTTTTAATTGGCCAAAAAGGGGGTGCACAATATTTGGTCTGTAATCATGGCAATACATGGCTTGTAACTTCTGGTTATAATGTCAACATATTGATCCCGTTGGGACACCAGCTTGCCTGCCTCAGTATTGAACCCACTCACCGAACACTGGGCCACAGGTATTAATTACTAATGGTCATATAAGCAGATGAACCAACCAATAAATTCATAAACAGACGACGCTGTCGATAGATTTTCAATAGTGAATGTAGGGGTGAGCAAAGAGGGCTCTTTTTAGGAGGGTCAAACTTGGCATTTTTAGCACATTGGCATTGTAGATTAAATCAAGCAAAACATTTAGTGTACATCTATTGTACTTTCTTACTTGGGGTGTACTTTCGTGTTCACTTGCAACCCGCCCGTTGACGCCAGTAATAGCTATAATCAGTATGCATTCGCAATAGATTAAGATTAGTAAAAATGGGTACTCTAACTTCCAGGATGGAAATTTGATAATAATTCTATGATAACCTTGTTAAACCACAATGTCGTACACGAAGAAGAATCGTCGAGTTTCTTGAAGATGGAATGCTTCCCAACATTGAACAGCTCTTCGAACAGTCGGGAAAAGAATTCCTATTCGAGAAATTGAAAAGAAATACACGTAAGAAAAAAAAAACAGCTATTAATTAATAATAGTTTTTTTTCTTCAAATTAAAAGATTACAGTCCAGTATAGATTACAATATCGAAATTGAAATATCTTAATATTGATTCAGGTTCTTTATCTCGAATTAATATTTTAAAAAAGCAATATAACACGCAGTTGTAAATTAAAATACTTCGTTTGGTTCAGAAGACGTCGAGAAAAAAAAACTGTGGCATAAGTCTTTGAAATTATATGCCTGCATGTTCTCTTAGAGTTATGTTCTTACGATCGCAACTGTTTTCGAAAATCAAGTTCAAATTATTTTCAATACCCTATTGTGTGTCCAATATTCCTAATTTTCAGATTACGTTAAACGTCATTGTCATGTTTACACATTTAGCTAGGTGACGCACAAGGATATTGAAATTACCTTCAGTTGATTTGTCGAAAGTAGTTGCGATCGTGTGAAAGGGTGTCCATATTTACCTTCATGGGACCACCAGCATTTACACCCAAAGACACGTTATCCTTGAAATAGACTTCGAACGGGAGCAAGAGAGATGTTTCATTTTTACATTCAACCTTCGAGATAGCCGATTCAACAACCTTCTCTTTGTCGTCGTCAATTTCGAATCGAAGGGTTAGTGGTTCCGGACGTATCTTCAAATGGCGTGAGCCAATTAAGAACATGATCCCAGATCCTATTCCGAAAGTTTCCTCAAATTTCAGTAGAATGTCGTTCAATGTCTTTGTGAAGTGAAGCTAAAGGATATTATGATTAAAACAATATTTTAAACAGAATACGCCTCCCAGCCATGCAACCGGCGAGGTCCACCTTCTATTCGTAAGGACCGCTATTCATAATTTGAGAAGAGGCTCATTACTCGTTAGCTACATTCTGGTTTGGTTTGATAATAATAATAATAACGATACTAATAATAAGAATAATCTTTTAAAGTCCACTCCAAATTTTATTAAGTTAAACCGAAAATGGAAATTCTTTTTGCCCAATTCGATCGTGAGCCAGGCAGCCACTGAGCAGCGCCAGATCGACGTTGCTCTATCCCTTTATTGTTGAACGCCAAACAAAGTAGCAGCAACTCCCGTCTTTTAACGTCTCTTGGTATGACGCGGCCGGGGTTCGAACCCACCACCTCCCGGTTGTGAGGCGGACACACTCAATTAGTAACTGAGCCAACACACCGGTAACAAACATGAAGTACTTACTACATGTATAAGTATTATTCTTTACTAATATATTTGATAGAACAAACGAAAACAAATCCTTGAGAGTTCACTTCTTCACTATGACCGGTTTCATTTTCCTTCAGATCAAGAAGTAAAATTGAAACTGAAAACTCCTCTTTTACTCGCCTTGTCATAATGCCATATTAAACAAATTAGTTCAAGGTTATGAAATTTAAAATAACATGGACAGTGACCAATTGTATGAAATTTCTTTGAATTCATTCAATCTAGTTTTCATTTTTCGAGAAGAAATTTCAAGAAGACCTGACACTGTCTATGGATAAAACTTTAAACATACCAGACTGGTATCGTTGAACTCTATACGCAGCATTTTCCACTTCAGAGGTACATCCAGTAGAAATAGCAGGTTACCTAATGGAAGGAGACCCTGAATAAACGTAGAACAAAAAAGACAACATACTTTCAATGACATAAGTGGACAAGAGGAGAAAAACTCAATGACAGGAGTCAATATAATTTAAAATGTACGGGTGAGATCAGAGGATTAACCTCCACCCCACCCCGGCTATTCATTTTAATACAGGGTCTGTTTTGGGTTAAAACTCAACATAAACTTTTCACTAAATGCTTATCAATAAGAATCTAGAATGAAATGATACATTTTCAAATAAATCTTGAAACATATTTAATTCATTGTCGATAATATGTTTATATCAAGTAGTAACCACATTCGTTGAGACATGTGTTTATTTTCTTATTCAAAATAAAAGAGTTGAAGATATCTTGTTTTATTAGGAGATATTAGGTATCTTTATATGTTATTGCCTTCTTTTGTTATCGTTTTCTTTTCATAATCAGTACCTAATAAGGAGGAGTGGGAAGGGGGGCATCTAACTAAAATTTACAGACAGATATAAAATACATGACTTAACAGTTTTAACTTAGCAGTTTGTAGATAAAGCAAGTATATATAGCAAGTTACATTACACGGATAAAACCACTAATGGCGCTTATGACAATAGTATTTTTATTGTAATTTCGTCATCAAAGTGTAAAGGCAAGTTGTGAAAAAATACAGCGTCCCTCTCGCCGGCCAAATACACAAAGTGATCATGGTGATGGTTGTCCCCATTGTTAGGCATGTCAGATGATGATGGTTGATAACGATGCTGAAGATGATAATGGTTGATGAATAATAGTTAATTATGATGATGATCATCGCCATTTTAATGATGATGACGCCGATGATGACGGAAATGATGATAATAATTACCATAATATTTTGATAACAGTGTTATTGATATATGATGAAGTTGCCTATATTTTCATGACTGTCTGTTGTAGTGTTGTTTAATGTTTTCCTGATTATGTGAAGCATAAGAAGATTGAATAAATACCAGGAGAGAGAGTTGCAAATGCTGTTGATGAAGCTGAAGAATCAAAATCTCGATCTTCCTGTTTGTTTCTTCATATCCTGGTTGACGGATGTAAAACTGATTGACTGGAACCTTGTACCCAAGCGACTCATTGATCTGTTTGTGAAATGATCCATTAACTTATTTTATTCTTATTGCATCATTATAGTGAGACAATTTTGCATTGAGCAGGTCTACAGACACGTTTTTAAAGGGAAATCCTACCTTGATAGCAAACTTCTCTAAAGGAAAGCAGAAACATCAAAGACGCAGCCTGGTGAAAGTTTGAACGAAATCGGACAAAAAACGAGAAAGTTATGACTGGCTAATATGCTCATCGTTAATGTCTCGAGGATGTAGTGACGGATACCTTTCCTATTTGTTCAAACACAAAAAATGCATAATCTTCACTTTTTTCAAAAATGCACGATTCAGGAGGGTCTATCCTTTTTAGAGGACTTACAATAATATGCTATCCATAATATATTTTGGAGAAGGCACTAAGGAGAAAAACAGAAATTATTGATATTTTTGTACACGACAAAACAATAGAGTTATCCTCGACTACATCACAATCCATTAACTAAACTGCCAATTAGAAATACGCATAGACTTAGTGATCTCATATTTAAAGCATTCATAATTTCCTTATTATTGGTCCGATTTATTTCAAATTTTCGCCATTATATCTATCTTATCAATCTTCTTACATACACATGAGCTTATTACAAGGGTTTGAGTGCCCTTTTATTTTACGAATAGAAACTCCGTAGTGAAACACGCATCAAAGAGTGCTACATTTTGCACTGTATGTGCAAAAATAAACCTCAAGAGGGGTAAAATTAAAGGTTGCTGACAGGAAAAGTTGAGAGGTAAAATCTTCAACCTTTCCCAAAAATTATGCCTCAGATTATCACGTTGCTACTTTGATACGTTCTGTTCATAAAGGTCTACATCATTACGTTTTTTCTCAGCTATATATGAATATTCAAATTGCAATAATACGTCACATGAAAACAAACATGAAGTCAGACAGACAGGAAGACCAATAACTGTTTTAAAATTAAAATGAAATCGTTTTCCCTATACCAAACATACGAACCTCTCTCAAGATTGTCAACATCTGTATGTAAAGGTTATCAGTTGATATTGGTTTAGAATTGAACAGACACTTCACCAGATTCCTGTATGCCTGTACGTAGACTTTAATCACTCTGGCTAAAATATCCGAGTCCGCGTCCCACCAACGAACTGTCAAGGGAATATAAACATGTATACATATATACATTTTTAAATGGTCCCATGGTAGTTATCAAGACTCATTCTATGCTTCAAATCAGTCTAAAATCAACCATTTGTATTCATTTTAATATGAGTTTTCTTTAAGTCCACGACTGAGAAATGTATTTTATAGTAAAGTAATGATTTCCAGGATATTGGAAATATATTACACCCCTGGGAACTAAATATTTGTAATTGACCGTTATAATGTCATGTTATAAAATCGAGACAGTAGGTCCAATGCCCTGGCCTGAGATAGTATCAGTGTACATTATGCTTCAAGCCACTTTTTATTTGTTTTTACCAAGCACATCGAAGTTCCTCTTCGCAGTTTCATGCATCAAGATCAAGAATTCTGCCATTTTTCTGATGATACGATCACCCCACTCTTTATCCGGTCTGTCGAAGGCTGGGCACTCGAATAGGATCGGAACTACTCGGAGAAGATCGGATTTGATTTCACCCTTGCATAATTGTGAACGCATGTCCTTCAGGTGCTTCAAGATTACTTCTGCTACCTGCATTAAATATGAGCAAAACGAATAGTAAGAATAAGACAAGAAGGGACAATATGCAGAGAGATATATGTACAGAGTTTTGGCAACCCGATTCGATTTGGGCACTTTTTCTTAGCGAATAATGCTTTGCTGGGCAGGCACAAAACAAAAGGATGTACGCCATGGTTGTGACCAATTGATTTAGGTTGATCAAACTCTCTGTATAGATTGGTGACTCTGGGGCAATGGACATCTTGTTTGTTAGAAATGCTTGATTCAATCACTACAGTAAATAGTTTAGATGTATCGACTGTTATGAGAGGCCTGGCTGTGCCCAGGCGCGCCTCAGAGTCATGACAGGATGCAACGTCCCCTTGAGCCAGTATAGAAACAGCCAAGCCTGGAATATTAGAGCAGTCGAATTTACACAAAAACCTACCAACAATTTTTACCTTATCCTTTTCTTGAGTAAAGATTGGTTAAAACATCACAGAAAATCTGAGACACTGTCTGTTAATCTTCGATGGAAAGATGACTGAGTGTTAAAATCATTTGGGAATCGCAGACAAAAAACACTGTATGGTGTCCGCGCTCGCTCAAAGCAACTTTTAACACGTAAATCAATGGGGATCTCATCAAAATGTTACTATTTCCCCGGTACCCGAAATCTTTCGGGTATCTAACTCATGAACTATTGACCGTTCTTGGCATTGTTCGTTTCTTTACGGGAATGGCTAAAATCACGTCTGCAAATTCGATCAATCAGATGGCTGGATTTTTTAAGTGAGGTATATAATGCATGATATATTTGTTTTATATTTTTCAAACCAACCTTCATAAAAATATTTGTATAAATTTGACACATTGATTACAAGAAATTGATCAGAACATTTTCAAGAAATTTTAACTAAAATCAGTCAAACACAAATGACGAAAAGATCGGATTTAACAAAGTCCTGCTATCACAATGAATCAAGAGAATGGCCCCATACAAAAGTCAGTCATGTTATGTATAACATGTATGTTATTCCCAGAAGATGAATTTTGCAGTCATAAACTAAAATGAAATTGAGAGTTCTGTATACATGAAAAATACAAACTAAAAGTATTGACACGTACCTGTTCTAAGAGTTTAATGTTGTCTTTGAGCGGGAGAAAGGTGTCCTTCAGTGAGTCCATTTTCAAGGTCGCATATTGGTCTCTTCAAATAAAATATACACGTAGATAACAATATTTCGATTAGATTATATAGATAGACCTACAGAAATAAGTGTGTGGTATAATATTGTTGATGTTTAACTGTCATGCGGGGGTATAAGCTAAACGTATACTGTGTATTATCAAAATTATTAAAGGTAAAGACCAGTTATGGTCATGCGACTGCATTGTTGTGGAATCGATCAGAAAAGGTTGATCATCTAGCATCTAGCATCTTCAAGGTTCTGGAATCATCAAAATGATAAGAAATTTGGCCCATTCTTCGTAAAGTTACAAGCCCTATACACAGAAAGATGTATATGGGACTACCCTATATCTCTCACAGACCATGAGAGAAACAAATTTACCAAATATATGAATTAGTAGGCGGTTTCCCGGCAAATTTTTTATCATCATGTATTAGTCAAAACATATTCTTTCACATGATTGGTAATGAGAGCTTCCATTTCATTTTTTGAAATTGGGGCGTTTCCAATACTGGTCTTTACCTTTAAGATATTAATTTCCAATGCATTTGACAATATTCAAACAAAACGGTATGAACTGTAAAATAATGCAAGTATCAAGTATTTAATGTCGTTTGTATCGAATCATATATAAAAGGTGAAAGTCTCGGAATGTTTTAGGTTATCGATATAAATCCTCTCTGGGGTATACCAGCACTTTGTGTGCCATGGAAAACTTTAATATTAATAATAATAATATTACTATTAAAAGGGAAGCTTCATTAGCATCAGTGATGTTCTTCCAGAAGGTGCTGCAATTATTATTACCCCAACAATTAACAGGTACCCACTTACACCTGGGTGGAGAGTGGCAAATGTGGATAAATGTCTTGTCAAAAGACGTTAGTGCCTGGCTGGGATTCGAACCCGCATTCCTTATATTGAGAGTCAAGTGAATGTACCACCATACCACGACAACTTCACAATCGATATGTGAAAGCTAAGGGCGGACACAGGGGGACCATGGGAAACCCCCTCCTTGTCTAAAATTGAAGCATGTCTCTTTTTTTCCTCGTCAGAATTTATATATTTAAAGACTAATAACACATTGAAAATGCTCTGTTAATTTAGAGGAGTAGAAATCCACTCAGGAGTCAAAAATATGAAAGATCATTTCGTTTTGGATTTTAATCAATTCCAGATTATAGTGGAATCCCCTCTAAGGAGTGGTGTATTACTGTCTTGAGAATGGTTTAAAGAGTGTGTGTTCCTTCTTCAAAACGAATGTTTATTTATAATGATTCCTGAAAGAGTGCACTCCCCCTCATGTACATTTAAAGAGTGGGTTACCCCCCCCCCTTTGTCACATGTGCTACCAACCCCTTAACCCATTCATCAGAAAGTCCTGAATACGCCACTGTATATCAATTCAGTGTGGTTTATTTGAAATACAAAGTAGTAGTCCAGGGAATAATTGCGTAATTTGAACAATGTACAAATAGTTATAACATAGGATCATCGATTTTAACAAAACAAGACTTCAATACAAAGTTAAGGTATATAATCATTAGAAATACTCACATTTTCATACAAGCATAACGCTTTGAAAACAAAACGTATAACATTGTGCAAAATAGAAGTAAAAGATTAACCGAATATCTGGCTGAAAGGTAGTTGATTTATCATTATGATGCAATACAGAAGACAAACTGTTCTAAATTATTCCAAGATGCATAAAGATGTGTAGATCACAGTGCAATGTGGCCAGTAAGTATCCTTACCTGAGCCCAATGAATTCAGTATCTAGGAATGCTTCTACTAGACATCTTGGTGACATCGCTGTAAACAGGTCGTCTTGTTGCTCCTGAGTAAGATCAACACCAGGATCTAATCTGAAGATTGTCTCCAGTATTTTCTTGGAATTGTTTTCCATACTGGTTTCCGAATGTATCCGGCTGAAGATGTTTTAAAATTAAAATTGAAATTGAAATTGAAAGCAAAATATTTATAATTTTAATTTTTTTCAACTACATTCAGGCTTTCCATGGTATTCAATCTTAAACAAAAAAAAATCCAATTCACAATACTTCTTTAGTCTATATCAATGTATACCTGGGTATATTGGGGGAGAAGCTACCCTACCCCGAAGTTGGTCTCTACCCCCCCCCTCCGCCTGCACCTGTCTAACAATCCTATAGCGGTCTCTGTAATGGAGATAGTGTAAATCCCTGCAGACTGTACATAGTCCTATATAGACGAAAATAAAATATATTATTCCTTATTCCTTCTCTCATACAGAATATTTGAACAAACAAAAATCAATCACCGATATTGACAACACTACAAGAAATACATATTTAGATGGTGATAAATAACTACCTTAAATCATAGGTTTCAAATTGGTATGAACGTAATTATTGTACGTACCGTGATATGATCCTAGTTCTCAGTCAGTGTACAGCTATGTGAATATTATGATAATGAACGACAGAAAAGTGTGTATAAACAGACAGGGTCGTATTGCGCTCACACCGTAATTCATATCACCAAGCAAAGCGCCATATATAAAGGTACGTACGAAGCTCATTCCCACAGTCTGTACATGCATTGCGGGGAATCCCCGGCTCGTTATACTGTTACTATGGCAGTAGCAATAGAATGGTACAAAAGGCAGAGTGCCTAGGGTGGTAGATATTGAATGGTAGTATTTAAGCAAGCAGAATGGAAGTAGAGGCTAGTAGAGGCAGGATGGTAGGAGAGGAAGGATGGTAGTAGAGGAAGGTTGGTATCAGAAGCAGGATGGTAGTATAAGAAGGATGGTAGTAAAATAAGCATGGTAGTAGAGGCGGGGGGGGGGGGTAGTAGAGGTGGGATGGTAGTAGAGGAAGGATGGTAGTAGAGGCAGGGTGGTAGTAGGGGTAGATGGTAGTTGAGGCAGGATGGTTGTAGAGGAAGGATGGTAGTAGAGGAAGGTCGATATTAGAGGCAGGGTGGTAGTAGAGGTGGGATGGTAGTATATATTTAAAAAAAAGGGGGGATGGGAGTAGAGGTAGGATGGTAGTTAAACAAGGATGGTAGTAGGGGCGGGATGGTAGTAGAGGTGGAATGGTAGTAGAGGAAAGTTGATATAGCACGAGGAGGATAAAATCAACCCGTGCACTCATAATAAATAACTTAAACCACTACATTTTCGAAGGAGTTTATTTTACTGAAAATATATTGATATCAGCTATTTCATACTAATCTACTTCATCAGTTAGCAGTTCAATTTGGTAAAGGATTGCATCAAAATGAGCATTATATCAAAGCATTTCTTCCAGTTTAATGATTACATTTCGTTTCGAATATATTGTAATTACATCACAGTAACAAGCTCTTATCATATATACAAATCATATAAACTACTCAGTCACAGAATTGTTGTAACTTCAATACAATCAAAATCAGGTTTCATGGTTCTTCCATATTCTAGTTTACAATTTACTTGATTTGAATCCACTGTTTACAAACATAATAATCCAGGGGTTCCAGTTAAACATAAATAATACATGTAGCATGCGTGACCAAGAAAACGCGTATATATATATATATATATATATATATATATATATATATATAGTTATACATTTTTATCGATTGGACGCGGTCCGCGTTAAATTAAGGCGTCGTTTAACAATGTTAAATCTGAGATGCACGGCCCTACGTGTTATCAGTGTCTGTGATATGGTGTAATATTGAAGCCCTAAACAAAATTGCGCTTCAAAATGATCATGAAGTGCTTCAAAAGAGTAAAAAATCTTTGAGTGACTGGTTTTTACCATACTCGTTTTCCCCAATAGACTGTAGTTTTATGAAAAAGCAGGAAAACGTAAAATTTAATTTCGATTTCCAATCATAAATATCTTGATAATCAGACAGGCGATCGGCTCGTAAAAGGCATGGGATTCCTGACTGACCTAAATGTTTATAATTATCATTGCAGCATGAGCTAAATTCAGTCTATCGGGGAAAATAAGAATGGAAAAACCGGTCCCTCAATTTTTTTAATACTTTTTGTTGGCACCTTATGGTAATTTTGAAGCGCGTTCTTGCCATTCCTCATTTCCGTTCAATTATACTTCTGCTAAAAAATGCTCGACCATGTCATGTTGTAACCCGTTCCTATATAGTAGGACAGAAGTACGGCAATTCCGTTCGTAGTATGTCCATCTCGTTATGATTACGTTTTACGTTGTCAGTCCGTCTAATTGCAAGACGGGGAAAATTTGGAACAAGCTCAAAGTTTAAGAGCACCCTTCCCGTCCTAACCAGTCTGAGCCCGCCCATGAAGTTCTTAAGCAGATTGTAAACAGTTGCTACTACGTTCACTCCGTTCGCACACAGTTTGAGCCCGTTTGGCAACATTTTACAGAACGTAGTGAGAACTATTTCGATGTGACGGGGGCTTCACTTGAATGTCTTGATTTGCACAGCTTGAAGCGTTGAAGTTGGAAGAGAATAAAGAATGGCAAGAACGCGCTGGGTTTTATGACCTTTGGGCCAGGACGTGATTGCACACGCTCTAGGAGTGCGTTCGAACGCACGAAGAACGAGATGAGGGAGAGCCGAACTGTCTCTGAACTAGTTAGAATGGGTTTGGTCGTATTGCGAACGAGATAGAACTAAACGGGTTAAACCGACTACGGACTGGCTTGGACTGCCTCGAAATTGCAAATTCACCCGATCTGGGGGGTGTTTCACAAAGAACCTAAGTAGAACTTAACTCTGAGTTGGACTTAAAAATTATGGACGGCTATTGGAGTCTTAAAATGAAATATATTCAAAAGCAGAATTCAAGTATTTTAGACTTTTTATAAATTTCGCATCCAGAACATGAAATCTCCTTGATGATAGAAAATATGAATGATTTGAATAAACAATTAATGCCTTTCAAAACAACTTTTACAAAATATTTTCAAAGATGCTAATGGCTTTCTATAATTTTTAAGTCCAACTTAGAGATAAGTTCAACTTCGGATCTTTGTGAAATATCCCCCTGAACTTAATATGAACTGACTGTGGACGGGGTACAGACGAGATGGGCGTATTGAGGACTGTTTTTGAGCGGACTGGGATCGTATTATAGTCATTATTTACACACTCTACCCTACTCTAATTCGTTACACTTTATTAGAGATAAGAAACTTGATGAATCATTCTCTCAAATTTTTTTCATCATCTTCCATTTATGTGGGTCAATGCCAAGTGTAGCCATACCTTTATATTTAAACAGATTAGATATAAAACACGGTGGAAGGTCATATTACTAGCCATGGGATACAAACAAATTAGAAATGAACAATAAACCCTTATCTCTATCACACAAGCTGACTTCTTATTCCATTGTGTCTGTTTGTCTGTATCAAACACACAATTACGTAAAGCAAATTAACCTACTTGAATTTTATATTACCGTTCTTTATTGGTATTCCCAGCATTTACTTATCTTTGGTTATTGTACGTTGACACGATATGATATATGAAATATGAAAAGTTGTTAGTGGACAAGGTCAAATACTTTAAAGTGAAGGAGTCTCGTCTTATTTCTGAGATTAAGGGAGTGTAAGAGACTAGATTACCCAAGAGCCTCTGACTAAGACAGATCTAGAAGAGCAGGAGTTGAAGACAACATAACGATATAAAAATAGTTGACTAATATTTTCCAAAATGCATCTCTTGGTCGTAGTGCTCGTTAGCAGTCTCATGCTCGAGTACGCGGTCGCTCAGGCACCTATCCCTGACCGACCACCAGGCTTCGCCTACAAACCTGCCCCCGAGGCTCCTGTAGTCTTGGAGGCATGGGTGGACCTCATCTGCCCAGATTCTAAGAATGCTTGGTTAACCTATCAAGCAGTAGCCGATCATTATGGACCTGAGAAGGTTCGATTCTCGGCTCTTATGTTCCCGCTTCCTTACCATCGGTCCGCCATGATGGCTGCACAGGTAGGATAATCCTAACATTTCTATTTTAGTTTAATCATTTCTTAAACCCTCCAATACAACCACCGCCAGTAAAATAAATCCCACAATGATTTGTGTTGGTGTATCACCTACCAAGCACCAAGTTATTTGCTTTAACACTGAGAACCATGAGAATTATCTTAAGAATTATTCTCCTCAGCTAAAATGTGTTATCCCCATCTAGTCTTTTGTAATTACATAATATTTAATTTCTGAATTAGTGGCGTCATTCTGTTCACGTTAAAATAGTCATATCACCTCTTTCTCCCTATTTTCCATTTCCTAACAAACCAAGTTCGATGTTTTAAAATCAGACAATTTATTTTTTAGCATTCATGATCATGTTGATATCGAAGTTACTTGTGATATAATTTACACAAATTACATTCAGTATTATTATGATTTAATAGATTAAGATGATTTGCTTCTAAATTTACTAACCTGATCAAGATTAGTCTAATAAAGGACGACTCTTCCCATATCATTGTTAAACGTCTAATTGTTGATGTGCCATCTCTTTAATATACAGGCCGCGTTTGTAGCGAACGAACTAAACCCAGAACTGACATATGCATTTTTCGACAATGCCTTCTCAAAACAACCAGCTCTCTCAGATGATAATATCTTTGACCAAACACAAGCCTACGTCCAAGAGTAAGTTACCATCTTGTTTCCTGGAGTAAAAGAGTAGTGAAATTTGATTGGTTATCACATAGGATAACCATTATAATATAATTATCATCTACAAATGTAATGGGGCAGGCAATCTGTATCCCAAATAATTTAGTAAAACGGTAGCATTAAAAGTGGTGGTGACATATCTAAAAGATAAATTTTAAATGTTAATCCATTAAAATTAAATATTATCATGTAAATGAGAGAGAGGGAGAGAGAGAAAGAGAAAGAGAGAGAGAAAGAGAGAGAGGAGGGGAGAGATGATGAAAGATACATATTTTTAAATACAATGGTAGCATTTGTAAGGATAGCGACACTTACTCCCCTACAAATATTGTCAAAATCGATTGACAAAAATATGATTGACAGACCTAAAAAATGACCCACACTGCCTGCTATTATCAGATAAGTTGTTATAATTGGTTCAATAATAGGTCTTAAAATTGATAAGGCACTAGATTTCTTCAACGTTTTTCTACTGGTTTTTCATAATTGTTATGCCTTCCTCGTGACCACTTTATCATAGTTTTTTTTGTTTCATGTATCACAAGGAAATTTATGTGCAAATTATCTTCAAACATCAGTATTTTGGTTTCTACTTGAAACCCAAGTTATTTGCAATGAATAAACGAACCTATTGCCAATGGCCTTTGCCCTAATTGTCATGTGATTCCCAGACCTACACAAATTGCCGTTGATGTTTTTTCAAACGAGGGAAATATCTCTCACCCAAATGTTAAGTTCTGAAACAAATCTAAAAGATGACTACCAGTGGCGTAGCAGGGGGTCGTTGGCGGCTGGTAATAATATTTTTTTTAAAGTAATGATAAAACTAAATGATAATAATAGTAATAAAAAAAATACTCGTGTTCCAACAGGGTAGCCTAATGAATATATGAACCCCCCGGATTGAGCTGAGTTACCATAATAGGCGCTCAAGCATTCAAATAATATCTTCTTACATTTATTACACATGGGTGGAGAGTGGATAATGAGGACTTATATGTATATATATATATATATATATATATATATATCTTGCCAAAGGACATTAGTATCGTAGCGGGACTGAACAGGCGAATCTTGTCATTCACAGTCCCGCTACATATCCTTTATACTAGACCATTACTTATCTACTTGTGTTATTAGGTGGATGATTACGTAGGGGAACCAGGCCAAAAAATGGGAGGGGGTCATACCATTATTTCCCCTTGACGTTCTGTTACCCCTCATTGGATCGATGTGTTGAGCGCTATATAAAAAACAGATTATTATTATTGTTATTAAAAGATAGAGCCTGCTAGAGAAAAAATGGTTTTCAGTCCAAATCTTCGCTAAATTTTGATTTAAAAAAAAAATTATGTTTGTCGTGGTTAAGGGGGCACAGAAGAAACATGGTATTACAAAACAACAGCCCACCCATTCCCATTAATAATGTAAAATTGTTTGCATCAGGAATATTTACAGCTTCATTAAATGTGTAGTTGCTATTGACACTATCGGGACATCCTAAATTCATGGCTTCCATGGGACCAAAATTAAAGTCATTCTCATCAGTCATGTGGGCATTTGTTTCCATGGGCTTTAGCCGTCACAATAGCTATGGTATTTGGAAAAATATTTTATATGAAATATATGTTTATATGTTTTTTAGAGAGCACCCTATTGGCTATTAAAGAAGCTATCGCGTGACTCTCAATATTATAGATATACTGACTGCTATGAGAGGTATCGCTGTTTCTATAGGCTCTCGGGGCGTTGCATCCTGATATGACCCCGATCATTCGGGAATCGCAGACAAAAAGCACTGTATGGTATCCGCTCTCGCACAAAGAATTTGTTTACATTATGCACGTACATCAAAGGGGATCTCAGCAAAATTTATCTACGTGGCCTGTTACCCGGGTAACGGGCATCTCGTAAAAACACTATTGACCGGTAGGCGGGCATGGCTAAAATCACGACTTCAAATTTGACCAATCAGATGAGTAGATTTATATAACGTACTCAAGAGAGGAATATAATTGTTATAATTATGTGCACGAGCGTGCAATATAACAACCATTTTTTGCACGGTATATCGCTTCCAAACTCACTGGGGATGCCACTGAGGAAAGAAAGAAAGATAGAGAGAGAGAGAGATAAGGAACTAAAACAAGGCATACAATCGCAAATACCCTTGATTTTATAAATAAAACAAATATTGAATGCATATTGACGTGCGGCCTCGGTCGCATTGCCCTTTGCAAATACATCACGCCTAGAAATTCGGAAGTTGTTGGTTTATATATTTACTGGCATTTGACCTCGGAGCTTTCGAGTCTTGTAAAAATTAAAAAGAAACGCACATGGTAATGACGATAACGATGATAATAATACGTCCTGTTTACTCAGAGTAGACTCATAAATATTGGGGTGAATATTGAGAGTCACACGCCTGCAATCATATCATATCTACATAGTACACTGGGATCACTTTACCCCATGAAATTGCCTTTCGCAAAACATACATGTATATTTTAAACGCTTTGTAATATGATGTGGAGGTGTCGTGGTAAAGTGGTTCATACACCTGCCTCCCAATTAAAGGGTTAATGGTACGAATCCCAGCCTGGCACTAACGTCCTTGGGCAAGACGTTAATCCAAGTTTGCCACTCTCCACTTTGAATGGGTACCTGACAATTACTGGGGTAATATTGAGTGCATTATTAACACTAATTTCCATTATAATTATTCTTAATTTTTTTGTTATTATCATTATTACTATTGCTATTGTAATTATTATCAATACCATCAAGCTTCTTCTGAGTCTCCTTTTTCTTCTTCTTCTACTTCTTCTTCTCCTCAATCTTATAATTTTATTACTGTACCATTTTTATGTTTAGTATTCTTCTTCTTATTATTATTATTACTGCTATATTAATATTATTACTATATTATATTATACTATTTATTTTTTTCAGGACTTTAGCAGCCTGGGCCGGAGAAGTTGGGTATGACCAAACTGAATTTGCATCTCGCCTCGCAAGGAGTGATGATACACAATGGTTGGCAAGGGTGGAGTTCAAGTATGGTGGCACACGTATGTATTCCAATAAAATTAAAAATGTTAACATCTTTTGTAACAATAACGGTATTATCATTATTCTTACAATTTTTGCAGGGCCATTATTAGAAGGAAAATAATTAATACTGATGATGCTACCAAGGGTTAAAAGGCGTATTATATTATTATTATTATTAGTAGTAGTAGTAGTAGTAGTAGTAGTAGTAGTAGTAGAAGTAGTAGTGGTAGTAGTAGTAGTAGTAGTAGTAGTAGTAGTAGTAGTAGTAATAGTAGTAGTAGTAAATCGTTGTATTACGTATTTTGAATCGTTTCCATGACATTCTATAGTCAAAGAAGGAACAATACTTGAAACATGTACAAAATAATGGAGGATTCGGAAAACCAGTGGTCTCGCGTGTGTGAAGTAATCAGTGGTATATTCTGACTGGCCAACGAATGATTCCGACCGGTATAAAATGGTTAATGTCTGTAACACATGGAAATAAAATAACTTGTCTCATGTAAAATTATGAAAACAAAACGAATACAGCACATTCACAACATTTGGAAGATTATTGACCAATCATCTTCTCTCCTGATATATTTGTGTAGGCGGAGTGTTCGGGACACCCCAGACGTTTGTGAATGGTGCTCTAGTCTATTCTGAAGGGACCTGGACATTGGATGACTGGAAAACCGTTATTGATCCGCTCGTCTCGGGAAACAGGTGGGTTTAATAGGAGCCTTGCATATCAAGATTAGTAGTACGCTCCAACAGGAGAGGTTCTCAAAGATTGTGTATTGGGGGGGGGGGTTAAGATATTCCGGGGTCCATTACTACACGAGCCTCTTTATAATCAAGATTACTATTATCATTATTTGAATAGTTCCTCAATATTAACAAGACTGAAGCTTTCAAGTGAACCTATCTTCATTCAGAATCGGTGAGGAATCGGCTTCCTATTGGGTCTAAGTTTTATCAAAAAAATGGATAAATCTTTGTCAAGAAGAATTTCAAATCAATATGAAATGACAAGTTACGAAAACTGTTTTACTTTTGTCTTTTGTCAATAATATAACTAGGGCGAAGCGCTACGCGGGTTTCTAGAAACAAGTCCAACATAAAAAAAGGTAGAGTACAATGAAAATTCTCATTTTATCAAAAAAGATGTTCGACAAATGTACTCTTCATTGTGTCCATCCACATCAAACTATACTATAAATAAAACATAGACAAAATGTGGTTGAAAAAAAGGCCTTTTGTCTGCCATAACATTAGCTATGTTCCATGTGAATGTTGAATATTTGCCAATGAGTATTTTAGATTACATTTAATGACATAATGGCAGAATTTACTAAACTTATGACATGAGCAGATATTAAACACTTCGATACTATTTTGTATGAGCTTGTGCCTTTTGCCACCTAGACTACTTGAAGACGTTCTCATTCTATTCTACCTTTACAATCAAGTTTGTTTCGTCTTTTAATGCGGTCATATTTTCTGTAGCAGAATAATGTTTTGCATTCTTGCTTCAATATTAGTTTAATGTTTATTGCTGATATAGGAGTTTGTCTTTGCTCAGAATAAATTCACAAAACATCATATCACATCACATCACTTCACATCACATCACATCACATCACATCACATCACATCACATTACATCACAGCACATCACATCACTTCACATCACATCACATCACATCACATCACATCACATCACATCACATCACATTACATCACAGCACATCACATCACATCACACCACACCATATCACATCACATCACATCACACCACACCGTACCATACCACACCACATCACATTACATCACACCACACCATACCACACCACACCACATCACGTACATCACATCACATCACATCACACCACACCATACCACACCACACCACACCACATCACGAAACTTCACACCATACCACTCCACACCACACCACACCACATCACATCAAATCACATCACATCACATCACACCATACCACACCACACCACACCACATCACGTACATCACATCACATCACATCACACCAAACCATACCACACCACACCACACCACACCACATCACATCAAATCACATCACATCACATCACACCATACCACACCACACCACACCACATCACGTACATCACATCACATCACACCACACCACACCACACCACACCACATCACGTACATCACATCACATCACATCACACCACACCACACCACACCACATCACATCACATCACACCACACCATACCACACCACACCACACCACACCACATCACATCACATCACATCACATCACACCATACCACACCACACCACACCACATCACGTACATCACATCACATCACATCACACCATACCACATCACATCACACCACATCACACCACACCACACCATACCACATCACATCACACCACATCACACCACACCACACCACACCACACCACACCATACCACATCACATCACACCACACCACACCACACCATACCACATCACATCACATCACATCACATCATATCAAATTATATCACATCACATCATATCCACATCATACTGTGCATTATCTAAATAGCGCACAAGAAATATAGTTTTCTTATTGTTAACTCTTAATTTGAAGCTGACAGCTTACATATGTACATGACATTAATGAGTGTGACAACATTTTTGTCTTAGTATTCCACTAGGCAACACCTTTACATGCTATCGAAAGGAATCTATAATAAGTAAGTTCATAAGACTTTGTACGATGCAAATTATTATATAACACGAAGTTTGCAGTGTTGTCGGTTATACTTTACTCTATATTTCTGACAATATTACATCTTTCTGTATTTCTGTTTTTCTTCTGCTCTCCCTCCAGTGCCAGTGCTTTATCCAGCAGCGTCAAATTGGTCTCCCTAAATATCATCGTATTTATGTTGTGCTGCTTTGTTGGAGAGACGGGTCTGAAATATTGAAACGTCATACGTAACATTATAGGACTATTAGACTTGGGGTATTCATCTATATAAGTCCAATCCTAGTTTCTAGTGTTAATAAATACATGTATTCTGAAAAAATGAAGAAACAGATAAAAAACGACCAACAAATCAGACGAAGAGAATACGGTTATGAGATAATACCCATAATAATAAGATAAAGACAGAAATGTTTCGTTAGTATCTAGGATTAACATATACATGTACTAAACATTAGGCTATATCATGAAATAATGTAATTGTATGTTATATATCATATCATCTCCGGCAGAAGACGATATAGTTTTGGAAGGGGACTTTTGTATATCTGTAGTTTTAGATAGTATAGGAAACATTAAGACAACAATCTTCCTCGCTAATTAACACTAGCAAGAACATTCAGTTGCATGTCATTACATGTAATTAAATCATATAGTATGTGAACTGAAACTTGTATGTAATATGCGATGACAAGAAATAAATTCTACACGCTCTGAATGCCTACCGTGACTATGTTGTACTTATTTTGACTTTGGCTCCATTAAGTTTACTTCACATTGCGCGACTGATGGGGTAGGGGGGGGGGGGGGTCGTTGAACCCCTCTAAAAGCAAATGCGACATCACAAGTGCACCTTAGCTACACATACAATAACATTGCCCCTAATAGTTCCCCTTGTGGGGGGGGGGATCTAATTTAGTCCTAAATCCATTTGAAGAAATCCCATAATCTTTATCATTTATTAAAATAATATTTTTGTTTTCCTGTCAAAGACTTGCTGTAAAAATGACATAAAATAATTATACGTTTTCTTGCGCATGCTTGCTCACATCAATTGTTGGGGGCTAGTGCCCCCCTCCTCCCCCCCCCCCCCCCCCACACACACACACATCGGTCAGAAAGTACTGAATTCGCCGGTGACATTAATATTTATATCGACGGGTGCATGCATGGAAATAAAACTAAAGCAGGCATGCCGGCTGATAAAAATCGAGTCAGAAGTGAAAAGTAAAGATGTGGTTTTCATGTCATTCAAAAACCAAAAAAGTTTCTTGTCCGCTTTTCCTCAAATTTCTTTTGATCTGTTTGTCTGATATTCACTGCTTCTATTCTCCTGAGTCTGGAGTAGGTGAGATAGGGATAACATGATATTGGTCTATTTTCTTTGGACTATGTTTAAAGTGATAGTAATTACAGCCAGGAAAAACAAAAGAAAAAAATCAACAACAAAAAGAAGAAGTGATAATTACAGCCGGGGAAAAGCACCAACACAAATACAGACAAACAAACAAACAAACAAACAACACAAAGGTAAAAAGAAGTAACAAGCACTCCACATGGGTGTAGAGTACAGCTAGACTAGATCTGCAGGGAGATGTGAATTAATTAATCTCATGCAGACGGACCCGGGTTAAAAATCGAGTTGCATATATTTGATGTTATATTCCACATACTAAGAATCTTGCTCTACGATTGGTCAAAAGTAAATCACGTGATGAAAGATAGTTCGCCCATTATTGATGGAAGAAGCAAAAAGTTCGTTACACTGTGTTTAGTACTACTATCTACACAGTGTAACGCACTTTCACTGAAGATAGAGGTACTATCTACACAGGGCAACGCACTTTCACTGAAGATTATCCAAAAGCGCACTAAAACAGTCGTAATTAAGCGCGTATTATCAATGAGCGCAATGAAAGCAAACACATGCGCGCACCGTACCCTCAAGGGGTAGGGTTAAACTTTTCATTTTTGTGTGTGTGAATTTGGGCCTGGTGTCTTTGATGTAGATGCAAACACGTCCTTTTCTTTTTGTAGTTAAATTGTTTTAGATGTGGAATATAACGCAAACTATCACTATCAAACTATCACATCTTTCCTGAGCTTCGCTTCGGAAAGATAGCTACATCCAGATCGCCTCGGAAGTGATAGTTTGTCCCATCACCTTCACCAACGGTAGTTATTTGCTTAGTAACCTATGATTGGTTCCAAACGTAAATAATCCTTGATGTAAAACCACAATTACATACATGCAAGCGCACCCGCTCACAAACCCTCGCCTTCCAGTCAACAAATTCATAGAAAACAAAATTACATAATATGGATAATACAAAATCAAGCTCATACGTTTCGAATCATTTTGCAAATAATGACAGAATGGAAACCATAAACATAAAATACCTCGAACTCCCTTCCCCCTATTACCCCTTCTCCCCTCCCCCTAAAAAAAACCTTTATATTTTTTGTCTAATTCTTAAAGGGATAGTTGAGTTTGTTTTTTTAAGAGGGCGCTACACAAAATAATTTGATTGTGAAAAACTGAGTGTCTAATTTGAAAGAATATACAGTTCAAATTAACAAAATCAAATTTGTTTGATCAAAAATCGGTTCAGAGACGGCTGAAATGTCCATAAATAAAACGATTTCTAATATTTGTGGAGCCCCACAAATATTCGATTACTTGAACCAGCCGTTGGAAATACAAAATAGCGCCTTATACGTTTTATTCCAGCCAATGCCGATTTTGGCTTTTTGTTGGCATGTTCGTGTTGGCTATAATACGAACAACCAGCCGGTCCGCCGTGTATTGTTTTTATTAAATAATTCATTAATTAACGGTCACCTTATTTTTTTCAAAGTGGAGCTTAATTGGTATGATCCTACAGGCCAAATTGCAATTATTCTAGGGTCTAAAATATCATTACCTTCGTAGCAATTTAGGTCCTAAAAAAGCATTAGAACTGTTATAAATAAGAATAAGAGCAATAACCATGCACTTTAAAGGCATTTGCGGTTTGAAACAAGATCTCAACTCTCCTAATTCCATACAGGAAAAAAACAAATCAAATTAATTTCATAACAATGAATGGAAACAAAAATAGGGGCACTGATAATATACGAATAATCAAGGAATGGAACAAAATAACATAAAACTAATGAAAACGTTACATTCTCCCTCTATCACAATCACACAATTACAACAACACAAACACACCCCCCCCCCTCCCCCACGCACATACTTCAGAGTTCCTGACCTACTTGTGTATTATCGACAAAAGTGAGCGACGGGCCATTCATCAATAATATACGGTCAAAGGACAAGTGAAGACTGGTGTATACTGCAAACAAAGTTTATCTGACTAAATAAATATGGAGATCAATATTTGAAAAAAAAAACGTAAAGTTATGATATCATATAGGAGTCTTGAGCTATTAGACATTGAACTTTGATATCAATGTGTTACTCATCAAGCTCTGTCGTTAGTATTGTAGGGAACCATTCGTAATGTTCGTCCATTCTACCTAGTATAGGAATGTGGTAGTTTGAATAATTAACTCAGGATCAACCATCAAATCTTCAAACAGTACCGTCTCATAAAAAATAATGGAACAGGTATCGGTAGTAAAGAATTATGACCGGACTTTCGCCTGGAAAGACGTTTTTGGACTACATCAGGCAGATCCCAGAGACTTTACCAGATCGCAAGTAACTTTAAAAAAAAAATATTCCATGTTTTCTTTTATCATCCTGTTTCACTCTCCTCTCTTTACTATATCTCTCTTTCTCCCCCTCTCTTTACATCTATATCTTTCTCACTCTCTCCTTAATTACTTTATCCTCTTCCACCCATCTGAATCTTTTCTTCCCTCTTTTATTATGGCTCACTATTTACCTATTTTCCTCGTTACCTCGGCCTCTACTCGTCTTTTACTCTTTATTAGTACTGTTCAAAACAAACTATGTCTATGTATCGTTAAAAACAAAAGATTCATGTACCATGTGATCGAAGTTTTCTACTAAATACAACAATACAAAGTTCATAAATATAAAGACTTTCGATCTTCATTTAGATATTTAGAATAAAGGAAAATAAATCAAGAAATGAATGAATTACTCCAGACAAACCATTTTAAACGATGTTCTCGTTGATTCTTTCAAGTGGCCCATGAGTGACGAGACTTACCAATCCTACAGATTCTTTTTCATGGTGTACGTCGTGGTATGGGACATCATCACCGCCATATACAGCATCGGTTATACTATTGGTAGATATCATCTTGTATTCCTAACGAACTGGGCTTACCATCTCATTGCCGTGTATGGTATTGTGGCGGCGTTCTCTTCGAGGCACTTCGCACGCACGACAGCTGGCGGTTCACGATCTAGCTTGGATGTGGACCACTCAAGGGAAGGTAATTGACCTCTCGGGAAATTTTCTTATTTGTAACAAATTGCAACACGAAACGAAACAATTTTTTGTTTTAACCACAAATACTTCGGATGGTCTTATCTAATTATCATATGGAAATTGAACTATTGACATTACCTATCAAATTGGCCTTTTACGATACAGAGTGATTTGAAAGATGTCAATTAAAAAAAAATCATCAGCATTGAAAAATCGAGAAACAAAAGCTTTCCATTCCATGTCATGGTAATCTGTAATTTTACTGCATGAAGAAACGAAATTGACATCAGTCATTATGGACATTCAATAAGTTCTTTACCAAAAAAGATTTTGATGGTTTTTCCATAGTAATTCATTTCGGCCGAAAGTGATGAAAGATTTCATACACACAATGTAGATACCCTTATGTCAGGATATGCTTGATTACTGTATTATAGTTTAAAGGTAATGCCACAATATTTGTTGTCGTTCACTTTTCAAGTTATCCCTGATGCCATTGACGCCAAGCAATCACCTATCCCTCAGCCTTTCACTCGGGAAGCAAGAAAGGCTCAAGGACAGCTACATAAATTCCGCAAGAACCTACCCGTCAGTCAACCTGCCAAAGGTCTACTGTCCCCTGAAAATGACAATCCATGTACACCACTGCTTTCCTCCATAAATCCTTGGTACTGCCAGGTCACGTGGATCCTTTTTAACATCAACACCAGTCTTGCCCCTATCATCAGCGTTGTCTACTGGTCACTGGTTCACGACTTCACTTCAGGTGACAAAACCAACATCTTTTCTCTTGCAGGCATCTCAAACATCCAAGTACACGCCTTGAACATTGTCGTCGTTTTCATCGACCTCATGGTGTCGGCCTACCCGGTCAAGATCGTTCACTGTATCTTCACAATGGGACTCGGTTTAATCTATGTAGTGTTTTCGTTGATATATTGGGCTGCAGGTGGACTGAATCCCATGAACGGCACCAGAGCTCTGTATCCCATCCTGAATTGGGAGAAGATACCTGGGCTATCCTGTTTATTTTTACTTGGCGTGATAGTCATCATGGTGTTGGTGCAATGTGGAATATATGGGCTCTATAGACTAAGGTTCTTCATGGTTCAAAGGCTGTCGAGTACTTTGGAGTCAAAACAAAAATGAAACATAACTCTAACAAATCAAAAGAACGTGTTTGTCGATTGCACTCCGATTACTGTCTTGTGTGAACTGTCCTGATGGCTCTGCAATTATGATTACCCCATCAATTACAAGGTACCCATTTACACCTGGGTGCAAATTGGCAAATGTAGATTAGTGTCTTGCCATATATTGTTAGTGTTGGGCTGGGATTCGAACCCTCAACTCTAGGAGTGAGGGTCATACCACACCACCTCCACTTGGTAGGTTTTCTAGACCTGGTACTTGTTCATATCGCTGCTCTCATATAATGTAAACCTTATTGTTAATGTAGTTTTTCTTTTACATGAATTACTGCATGCAAGTGCCATGAAATGAATAAATCAGGTTTTTCTAAAACCATGTCTCGACTTCGCATGTTTTGTTTTCTTCTTCTTCTTTCTGTTTCTGGTATAAGTTTGTCTGCTACTCTAGTCACAGCGATATAAGACCGACACCAGATGCAAAATGGACGGGAGGGGGGGGGGGGACAAAATTAACATCGCACAGGAAGAAAAAAATTCGGTTTTGAGTCGGTCTGGATTCGGTTTGGCTGTGTGACTGAGGTTTAAAACTTACTGAACTTCATTGGAATTGTAAAGAAAAATGTCGCTTTCTGCTCCCCTCTCCTTCTACAGTTCATTTCCCTCGCCCCTCCCCCACCCATCTCTCTATTTATCCTCCTTTCAGTGTCTCTCTCGCACACTTCATAATTATATACATTCTCTTTCAGCCCCTACTATACCTCCTCTAAAGATAGAGGGCGTCAAACACTTATTTTGATATGTTCAATTTCATCACGAATAAATCAGAGACAAGGAAGATTGATCGAAAATCATACTGCACTAAATTGACTTGAAAATGATTTTATTTAGAAATCACATGATTATCAGAACATGTAATTATACAATAACATAACTCAACTCTTTGAAAAATCACCTTTAACGGGAGGAAGACGATAATTATTTCCTTTATATACAGTAATAGCTCCAAACTGTGATAAATGTACAAAAACTGAACTTTGTGTTTCACACAATGCTCTCTCGGAACCTTTGGTAATATGATCACTAATATATATGATTGTTTTAATATCTCACGATACTGGAGTACCTCCACAACACAATTACATTGCCCAAATTTCTTATTTTTAATGCTATAATTCTGAACTTTTTTCTTTTTTTTGTTTGATTGTCCTCTTAGATATTACTTTTACCCACTCCTTACTTGTCTGATACTGAGATGATGATTGTAACACCAACGCCTGTTATCTATTATTTGTTTTCTTTCAATAATCAAGTTATATTGCACTACCACAAAGATTGCTCTACCGTAAACTTTGAACAGCACTGCACAGAACAAAGTGACCATGAATCTAAATACATAGATCATTTTGTAATGTAATCAAATTTAATGTATAAATCTTTGCCAAGAGCTAGATGTGACAAATTATTTCATAAATCTGTTACAAATAATTATATGTCATTAGTGAGAATGCAAATTGCATACATTAAATGCTGCTAGGTAGGAATTTTGTTGTTGATTGTTGAGTTCTTGAAAAAGTATAATTACTAGTAGTAGTAGTATATATTACTTCATTTGATGACAGCATTCTTAGCTACAGGTATGACACAAACACAACAACATTAGCCTTTTTTAGTTTGTGCTATACATGTAGTACTGTTACTTATTGTGGCACATGGAATACTATTATAAGGTAATTACATGCAACCTTTTGTAAAGCTAAAAGTAAATATATGTTTACAGAACAAAGTCAATGAAGACTTCATCTGGTAATCAAATATTATCTTCATCTCATGCATCAAAGAATTGATATGTTTCGGAGGCTCTAGGCTAAAATGGCAGGCCACAGCTTAGCAATTGAAAAGGATCTTTACTTTTGACCCAGGTGAAGTAAATGAGACAATTGAAAGAAATGATGGTTTCGCATATCGGACAGTCGAAAGTGCTAGTATACAATCTAGCACCGAATAATTACACCTACTTTACATGTATATTCATTACCTCATTATCACAAGAAAGCTATAAAAACAAATCCTAAAACATCAGGTAAATTATATCAATATTTCTGTCCGCAACTTTAAATACCTTTGATTTAAACAAATTAGATGCAAAAGTATGTTAATCGACGGGTTTAAGCCCCCTCCCCCTCCCTTTTCAAATTAGTCTGTATTGCTTCTATCTCATCTAATACAGTGTACATGTACATTTTATATTGCCAATTTCTCTCTTCTCTTTGGTACAAGAAGATACTTTACTAAACATTCTATCTAGCTATACTGCGCATAAAAATAAACATAATTTCAAGTAACACCTACAACAACAACAAAACAAAACAAAAATCAGAATTTGATATACAAGTTGTATAAATATATAAGAAAAAGAAAAACAATCTATTGTCTAACCAGCTGCACAGTGGCTCTAGAAACTATATACAGATTGAATGAGAGTGATTCGCCTGTAGGAATCATATATTAGTGATTATTATGGGAAGACTTAAAGTGCCTAAATTATACATTTCAAATACAAAAATAAACAGATAAGTCAAACTACCACATTTTCACCAATAACCATTGACCCATCTTTGTTCCAGGCACATATTTTAGTGCCACTAGTTTTTTGTTTCATTTTGAAATGAAATGGCTTGTAAAAATTTGGCTTTTAACCCACTGGCTACTGAATGTTATGATTCGCATGGGTTGAACAGAGGGGCTACCTGCTTCCAGTACGTAATGGGTTAAATGAAGGGAAGCATTGGGCTGATCATCAAATTCACAATTTAGCTTACCCCTGTCTGAAATCCTTTACACATGAGTACTTACAGATAAGACCAGTTATGGTCATGCGATCGCATTGTAAAAGAAACGTTGTGGAATCGATCAGAAAAGGTTGATCAGCTAGCATATAAGTATTGGTGTGTACTGCAAGGTTCTGGAATCATCAAAATGATAAGAAACTTGGCCCAGTCTTGGTGAAGTTACAAGAACTGTACACAGAAAGATGTATCTGGGACTATGCACGACACGTGCGTTATATCTATCAGGTCCAAATAGATATAATACTTTACCAAATATATCAATTGGTAGGCTGTTTCTCAGCAAAATTTGTATGATCACGTATTAGTCTAAATATTCTTTCACATGATTGGTAATAAGAGCTTCCATTTGATGTTTTGGGGAGGGGGACGTTTCCAAAACTGGTCTTTACCTGTAAGCATGCACCAGACTTCAATTCATTACATATGTTGAATATGCCAGATCTAGCTTGTTCGATCCCAGACCTACACAAAAGAAAACTGCTAATTGGCCAGATGTGGTCCCTTGTTAAAAAGAAAGTTTAAGTTTTACATCCCAATTTATTTTGCTTGATTAATAAGCACACATTAGCGCGGTACCTTTCATTCCGAATTCCAAAACCTCATACAGATCTGACACGGTAAACTTTGGCATTTTTATTTCAATGATGTAAGTGTGATATGCTTCACATACCGGTAATGTATCTTGAGGAACATGATGAACTTGATGAACATGCTTGATGAACATGCATGTATGACCTTTGCTGCGTGCAGTTGCCATTTACAAACAGGATGTAATAAAAGCACCAGTCTACTGCATCCTATCTGAGTGAGCATTATATTATCAATACACACTACGCATGAAAAATCATAAATAAATAAATAATCAAATCATTAATGCAAACAATATTTTCAAAAACAATCTAGGTGTATACTACCCTTCAAGTGATTCTTGGGATAATGCTCAGTGTTGTCTGAAGAAATATTTGTTTTTAGCCAGAAGAGGATCTATGACTTGCTTCCAGTCACTGAGCGTCCATCTAGGTTCGGAAGAGACGACAGCACCATTGATGAAGGTCTGTGGGGTCTGGAACACACCACCTGTAAGGGATTTAAACCGAGAGGAAGTATGAAAAGATGACTGCGTTGAAACCTGAGTAGTGGATGATGCTTTCTTTTATAACTGCATACTGTACATGAATCAAATAAAAGTGTTACTTTACTGAATGTAATAGGTATTTTTCCAAGTTTGTTCATAGTGTGCTTACTGCTCTATCTATCCGGTCATTCACAATACTATATTTGGCGAATTTGATATCAACTGAATAACTTGTACAGTCAGGTAATTTCAAATTGCAAAAATTGCAGTTGATTTACATGTACGTCAGGTTCATGTAGTTCACAGATCTTGAAATTATGATTCAGAGGGAATATGGAGGTTTAGTAGAAATTACTCACAAGTTGCATCGTATCTTAACTCCACCCTAGCTTAGCTAGAGATTGAGTAGGATCATTACGATACAGTTATATACATGTATTTCTCTCTCTTCCACTCTCTCTCTCTCTTACTCTCTCACTCGCTCTCTCTCTCTCTCTCTCTCTCTCTCTCTCTCATACTAGAACTCATCCCTGGCTAAAGATTGTGTTGGATTACTATTAGACAGTATCACTTTTCCTTCCTATCTCTAACTCTCTCTCTCTTTCTCTCATGTTCTATCCAAGAGACTTGAAATTTCTTGCACTTTGCTCCATACTTGAAACTCCACCCTGGCTAGAGATTTGCATGATCACTACAAGACTGTATCACTTTCCCTTTCCATCTTTCTCTCTTCATTTCTTTCTTTCTTTCACCCTCTCTCTCACTCTCTCTCTCACACACTCACAAACCTTCTATCCAAGAGACTTGGAATAACTCACGTGTTGCACCATATTTGAACTCCACCCTAGCTAGAGATTGCGTTGGATCACTACGAGACAGGTGCATCATGAATTGAGCCTTTGAATAGCCAACATCTGACGCCCACTCAGAAAGAACTCTGAAAGAGAGACCAGGATTTTTAAAAAAAATAAAAAAAATAAGATCAGGTTATAAAATCATTTTCAATTATTTTTGTTGAGATCAAGTTATCTTGCAATGTCAGGTTTTAAAGTCTTTCTTACTTAACTGATTTAGAGCTGTTGTCAGGTTTAACCACCTAAGTCCTGATAATTATAATCCCTTCTGTACAAAGTACACCTTCTCTGCTTAATTATCTTTAACTGTATGTATACCACTTGCATATATGTAGTTAACTTTTTTAAGATTGTAATGTGTACCAACATGTTTTATATGTTATCTTTTGGCATGCACTGTACATTGTACATGTACAGGTAGATATTCAGAAGTTTATGCATGATAACTGTTGTATGATTAACATTAATTTATATGATCTCTTTGGACCTTTAAATTATGGTTTTAAGTTGCAGATGAATTCAATCAATACATTAATATAAAACGTACTTAGATTATAAGACTTTGTGCCATGAACATGTATCATGACAACCCAGTATTGGAATATAAGATGATCAAAGAAGGAGGAGGGGAAGTGGGTGTAACATGTTAGGAATCACAATCATTTCTTACTTTAAAATATAGCTATCAGGTTGTTCAGAGATGTTAGCATCAGAGAGTGCTGCCTGCTTATCGAAGGCTGTGTTCAACCAGCTGTACGTCTTGTTTGAGTCCAGCATGTCTGCTACAAAGGCTCCCTAAAAAGAAAGAATTTTCATATAAATTAAATCCCAGAAAATTATAAATGATCAGTCACTTGTCAGAGCAAGAACCATCTACTTGTATGTTTGAATCTAAATATTCATATTTATACATCTGTATGAAATAATATACAATTATAAACTTCATACAGTGAGAAAAAAACAGATATTTGTTATATTGTTATTAGTTATCATATTTTTCAAGAAATTCAATTGTTCTATGCCCTAATTTATGCGAAATAACATTTATTAGTACAATGACTAGTCAAAAATCTGTTTATGACTGATTTCCCAGTTAAATCACATTCTAACTTGTTATACAACCATCTTAATCATGCTAATTATTATTGTATCTTAATTTTACAGTATTTGATAAACAACTGAGCCACTAAAACTAAATTGTTTTGACCATTTTTAAATTGTAGAAATGATGATTATTTGACTTTGATTGTTCTTAGAATAATTTTATAATGTGTTTGATTTTGAATTATGTTACACAGAGGAAGGAAATCTGTCACTAGGCCTTTACTTTGTTGTTATAAATAATACAGATTTTATTCAAGGTTAATGTTAAAAGCATGTACAATGTAGCTTATATTATAGACAGAAATAACCGTCTGGCATGGGTCATTGTTTGATAAAACTGATATTTGTCAACCTTCCCAGGCCAGGAGGCCACTCAGATACTAAAGCTTTCAGTCTAAACATGCTAGATGTAGCTGTGCATTTCAACTGATCTTGCTTTTCACTACCATGACTAGGTCTACTGCATTCTGTGCAAAATTAGAGTTAATATTAAAGAATAATCTGATTCAGCTCAGCTCAGTACGCTAAATAAAATATAGGTTTTAAATTTATGCATCATTACATTTTTTCTTTAAAATTCCAATTCAACACCCAGCCAGAGTATAAACATAATCTATGGTATGAATATGCTACGAGTATGACTAGAGTAGAACTACTGATCATGAATATGAGTATGAATATGAGTATGACTATAGGCCTAGATCTAGGCCTAGATTTCTAGCCCAAATATGAGAATCATGATTGTCACCTGTGCAGCAGCCATTGCAGCTCGATGATAAGGCAAGGGAAACATCAAAGCTGAAAATCTCACTGTGTCTGGTCCATAATAATCTGCAACTTTCTGATATGTACGCCAAGCAGCTTTCGAGTCGGGGCATATAAGGTCTAGAAAGGATTCGAGTTGTATAGGAGCATCACATGACCCAGTGCTGTAGAAGAAGCCGGGCGGTCGAAGCGGGATCGGGGCCTGAGCGGTACCCTGGCTGATCAAGGCGCCTAGAACCAAGGCGAGCGATGCGACCACTGTCCGATGCATGTTGTCACTACGTGTAATGGAATCGGCCAATGTTTGCTCAAGTTGTTTTGGTGGCAGTTGCGCTTGGAACTTGGCTGGTGTTAGAGTCCACATGAAACAGACACTGAACAGGCAGATTTCTACCACGACTACAGCTAGTAAAAGCCAGAATAGTCCAACTAAATTACGAGTACGGCGATCGTGAACAGGCATTTATGATGATCATTGTTTACGAATCACACACAAAATTGCGTAATCCCAAGATATGCCACGTGATAACCGTAGATAAATCTAGTCTTGCTATCAGCACACAACTGACTCCGGCTGACACACAACATAATAAAAACTAGAAAGCCACATGTATAATTATGGCAATCCCGTTTTAAATAAAATATGTAGACAAGTTTCAGACTTTGTCTTATTGGTATTAATCACAAAAAACTGTAATGATAACCTTTTTATTATGATACCAGACCGTATATGCACCTTTCGGGAATACAACCAAATGCGCCACAAAACAAAGTTTTGAAAAGAATTCATGTTTGTTATATTTTACTTCACAACTTTTTGGACAAATTCGGGGACAAATTATTGTCCGTCCCCTCCGTCCCGCCCTACTATTTGCGCCTCAGAGAAGCATAGAGTACCGAAGCTGTGAAATCATAAAAATCTATTTTGAGAATTTCTCAATTTTTTTCTTCATTTTCCAAAAGAGCATAAAAAATAATGTCCGAATGTTGAAAACCAATTGAATATATTAGGTACTGGCTGAGATATGACCATCTGAATAAACTATATCCTATGTGAACTCAGTGTTACAGTGGTCTGGTTCCTAATGAGCCAGAGCACTATAACACAGAGTTCCCATAGGGCATCTACTTATTCAGATGGTCATATTTTCTAAATTCGGATTATTTTTTATGCTCTTTCGGAAAATGAAGAAAAAAATTGAGAAATTCTAAAAATAGATTTTTGATGACGTCACACATCTCCACCTCTCTATAGCAGTGGCGGATCCAGGGGGGGGGGGGCGAAACGGCCGCCCCCCCCCCCCCCCCCCTATTGGCGGCGCAAAAAAAAAGAGAAAAAAAAGAAAGGAGAAGATCGAAGAAAAAAATGGAGAAGAGAAAAGAAAGGAGAAGAGAAAAGAAAAGAGAAGAGAAAAGAAAGAAGAGAGAGAGAGAGAGAGAGAAAGAAAAAAGAAGAAGATCCCCCCCCCCCCCCCCCCACTTTACTCCCACTCCGGGGTCGGAGGGACCGATTTTGTGTTCCCAAAAATTCCGATAAAGGGTTACTTTTCACGCAACAAAGTCCGGCCCGTAAAGGCCCGGTCACACAGGGAGGACGCATGGGGAACGCACGGCCAGCGCATTGGAAATTTGCAATTTGGGCCAGTGCGTTGTCGTTCGCTAGGCGTGCGTCATCATTCGTTACTCGTTCGTCGAGCGCGCTGGACCAACGCTGGACCAGCGCTATGCATGCGTCGTCATTCGCTGTGTGCGTCGGGATTTTTTGAGCATGCTCAAAAACGTGCGCCGAGCTCGACGCATGAATATACACGCCAAAGGCACGCCAGACATGCGCCGGAGCGCGCTAGACCAGCGCCAGACATGCGTGGAGCGCGCTAGACCAGCGCCAGACAAACGCGGAGCACACGCCCTGTATACGCACAGCGCGCTAGCTACACGCCGTGCATTTTGTGTCAGCTCGCTAGCTTTTCCAAAATTATGACAAAAGTTAGGCACACGTTCTTTTCCGATTTCCAATGCGCTGGCCGTGCGTCGTAGAACGCGGTGCATGCGTGGACCATTCGTCCAGCGCGCTAGCAACACGCTGTGCATTCGTGGAAGTTGTTTTCATGTGCGCTCTGTGTGCGCCCTGTGTGCGCCCTGTGTGCGCCCTGTATACGCCCCGTATGCGTCCAGCGCGCTATGCATTTGGTGTCAGCTAGCTGTATAGCTTCGACAAAAGTTGGGCGCACGACAACGCACTGGCCCAAATTGCAAATTTTCCATGCGCCGGCCGTGCGTCCCCCATGCGTCCCCTCTGTGTGACCGGGCCTTAAAGGCCCGGTCACACAGGGAGGACGCATGGGGAACGCACGGCCAGCGCATTGGAAATTTGCAATTTGGGCCAGTGCGTTGTCGTTCGCTAGGCGTGCGTCATCATTCGTTACTCGTTCGTCGAGCGCGCTGGACCAACGCTGGACCAGCGCTATGCATGCGTCGTCATTCGCTGTGTGCGTCGGGATTTTTTGAGCATGCTCAAAAACGTGCGCCGAGCTCGACGCATGGATATACACGCCAAAGGCACGCCAGACATGCGTGGAGCGCGCTAGACCAGCGCCAGACATGCGTGGAGCACACGCCCTGTATACGCACAGCGCGCTAGCTACACGCCGTGCATTTTGTGTCAGCTCGCTAGCTTTTCCCAAATTATGACAAAAGTTAGGCACACGTTCTTTTCCGATTTCCAATGCGCTGGCCGTGCGTCGTAGAACGCGGTGCATGCGTGGACCATTCGTCCAGCGCGCTAGCAACACGCTGTGCATTCGTGGAAGTTGTTATCATGTGCGCTCTGTGTGCGCCCTGTGTGCGCCCTGTGTGCGCCCTGTATGCGTCCAGCGCGCTAGCAACACGCTATGCATTTGGTGTCAAAAGTTGGGCGCACGACAACGCACTGGCCAAAATTGCAAATTTCCCATGCGCTGGCCGTGCGTTCCCCATGCGTCCTCCCTGTGTGACCGGGCCTTAATACACACAAATCCGGCCCGCACTGACTCTACACACCGAAGATAAAGGGGTGCTTTCAAACTAAGAGAGGGAACATACATGCGCATACCCTAGATAACACTGAGTGGGTGCGGGGGGGGGGGTGGGAAGGGGAAGAGAAAAGTCGGGTGAGAAAGGGGGAAAGACAAGGAAATGGCGCTAAGTGACAGTAACGACGAATAAGGGAAAAACTGTAATCGGGAGATTTGGGGTCATTCCAGAAGGCTTGGGAAACGTTATTGAATAGAGGGGGCCGGGCCGGTGTGACCGCGTAGAATGTAACCCGCACCGATCGTCCGACTATTAGAGATAGATCGAGAGCGGACGATCGGTGCGGATTTTATCCGCGCAGAATGTCCGTGCGCGCCTCAAATGTCTGACGGACAATCCGTGCGGAGGAGGTCTCGCACCAATAGTCCGCCTGCCGCACCGAATGTCCGTACTCTAGTCCACACATATGTCAATATAGTGGAGGCTGTTAGGGCTAAATATGGGTTGTTTGGTGCAGATTCTTCTAAAAGCACCAAATTTGGCCCAATGGTAGATTATACCATACTTTTACGATTTCTTCCGGACGCCAAGAAGGGCACCCTCTGGGTATGCCATATTGGGCAAATCCAAAATGGCCGCCATCTGAGTTAAAGGTCAAGCGTAGTTCCAAAAGGAAAAGTGGTTGTATGATAATGGGGTTTGGGGGTCAGAGAATCTGATTATGATATTCTTTCATCAATTTAAGATCTCCTTGGGGCTGCCATACTGGTCATATTAGTCAAATCCAAAATGGCCGCCATCTGATAGTTACAGGTCAAGTGTAGTTACGAAAGAAAATGAGCTAGTATGATAAAAGTTTATATATTTATGGGGTTTTCGGGGTCAGAGAATCTGATCATGATATTCTTTCATCGATTTGAGATCTCCTCGGGTCATACTGGTAATATTGGTCAAATCCAAAATGGCCGCCATCTGATAGTTACAGATCAATAGTAGTTCCAAAAGGAAAAGAGCTAAAATGATTTTAAAAAACTATGTAGTAAGGAGGTTTTCTGGGTCAGAGAATCTGATTATGATGTTGCTTGTATCAATATTGCAGGTCTCCTTGGGACTGTCATGCTGGCCATATTGGCCAAATAAAAAATGGCCGCCATCCGAGTTAAAGGTCAAGCGTAGTTTCAAAAGGAAAAGGACCAGTATGATAAAAGTTGATGAATTCATGGGGTTCCGGGGTCGGATAATCTGATTATGATGTTCTTTTATCAATTTTATTTCACCATCCTGTCCTAAGGCTACAATGAACTTAGTCCATTTCCTAGTTGAAGAAGATGAGTGAAGATACGCCAAATTCACACTTGAGTGGGTTTAAATCTTGGCCTGCGCCCATTATGTTTCATCAATATGCAAACTTTCCTCTGTGAAATGCATAATACATTCGTTTTCGAGGATTGGCAAGGAAAATAGATAAACAGTAAAAACAGACCATGAATAAAGAAATAAACAGCTCGTTCGATTCGTTTTGAAGCATTATATTCAAAGACCCGGACAGCTTTATCTTTATTATCCATATAAATAACGTCTATAATCACTGTCAGACGGGAGATAATACCAATACGAAATGCATTAAGCAACGTCTAGACATAACGGTCGGATCTCAACTTTAGTTTTCTCATTCTTCTTTACATTTCGAAGCGTTACATGGGATCTTCATCCTTTTTTTCTACATACATCAATGCCCCCATTTAAGCATACTTTGAATCTGGTCACGCTTCGAAAAGTTCGAGGCCTAGCATTTTGCTTCTGTTGATGATCAAATAGAGAAAACACCCTTTATAGATCAGGGAGTGTGTGAACAAAGCACGAAGTAGGAGCAGTGCAATTTAAATATCAAGGGATGGATTAGAGTTTATTTCTAAAATGAAATGAAAGGGCTATTTTATTTTCATGAGTCCTTTCACTTCATTGAAGAAATAACCTCTCTTTATATCTTAGAGACACTTGCTCTTTAAAGTCAAATAAACTCGAGAGCATCCTGGGGCTCCGCCCTGGAACCCCTGGTAGGGGCTCTTCGAGGCCCCTAAAGCTGTGCCATATTGTACGGATCCATTAGAAAGCAAAATAAGCCCAATAAATAATTTGTATATATATATATATATATATATATATATATATATATATATATATATATATATGTATACATACATATATATAGTTATCCTATGCAAACTTCCTCTGTGAAATGCATACTAAATTCGTTTTCGAGGGTTGGCAATGAAAATAGATAAACAGTAGAAACAGACCATGAATAAAGAAATAAACAGCTTGTTCGATTTGTTTTGACGCATTATCTTTAAAAACCCGGACAGCCTTATCTTTAATACCCTTAAAAAATAACTTCTATAATCACTCTGAGATGGAATAAAATACCAAATCGAATTGCATTATGCAACGTCTAGACATAAAGGTTGAATCTCAACTTTATTTTTCTTATTCTTCTTTTAAATTTCGAAGCGTTACATG